GACAATTTTCATGTCTGCTGCTCTTTATCTTTCTAATGAAGAAAGAAAGGACAGATTCTGATGAAATAGAAAAATTTAAATTTAAGTTGAAAAAATTTTTTATTTTGTAAAAAATTTGAAAATGTATTGAAATTGAAAAAAAACGGAGATAATTTTTCAAAAACCGGAGACCGAGATGAAGCCCAAAAACCGGAGTCTCCGGTCTAAAACAGAAGTGGCAACCCAAATTGATCTTTGACTTTAGGAACATACTACAATGAGAGCTTGTGCTACTAACAACAATGAGTGCTTTATCACAAGTATAAGCTCAAATTGACTCTATGTTTTAGTTAGAAAACGTTTGTATGGGAAAAAGAAAAGGCTGTTTTAGGTTTTTTCGGCAATTATCATTTTTCTCGACGTAAAAAACTCCTTGAATTTCAACAGACATTTAAAACAAGAATTGCCCAATTGGTCCAGGCGTTGTGAGTTATGCGCTTACGCAAAATTTTGCGATTCATTTTATATTATAGATAGATTAATACGTATTTGCGAATGGGACGGTGTAGGTCTGGATGGGTCGAGGTGAGTTAAAGTGAAACATATTATGAATGATTTACGTGTTAAGCTGGAGCTGTGACAGACGGATGCATTTTTGTAGGGTGTTTCATTGTTGTGAAGAAAGCGTACCTTTGGCTAATGAAGGAATAATTATTTCAATTGATGAATTTGCGGCAAGTAGTTTTTAAGGAAAAGAACAGCGACGAATGGAAGGAGTTTAATGGGTGTCAACACTGTTTTCCCAGGTTATTGAAAATAGAGCAAAAGACGTTTTAGATAACAGAAAAACTTTGGACAAGCCGGGATCCACTGTGTGATCTCTGACTTTTGGAGATATAAATGTCAATATGGTTAATGGCACCTTTCCGTCAGTTACTATTTATCAAGGATCCTAAAACGTGAAACTCGAATTCAATTAAAATCACTTTATTTATATTCCTATTTCTAGGTGTCGAGTCAAACATAAATTTCAATTTGTTTTATTAATAGGCTAGACAGTTTTACAATGTGGCAACTGATTGAAAGTATGGGAATAATACATAAAATTCCACAAAAATAGTTTGAGTTCATGCATTTCATATTTTAAGGTTCGATTTTTAATTATAAAACGAGTGAAATTTGGAGTCGGGAATCCCAATTTTAAAAAATATAACATTTTTAGTGAGAATGTGAGTGAGGAAGGCAGAATATTTCCATGTAGGAGCAAGGCAGAAAGAAGTTGGGCAAGACGGAGCGAGGATACAATAGAATAGATACAAGAAGGTTCCGTGGCAGGGTGGGAATAGATGGAATACCTCTTCCTGTCTAATAAATGATTGTGAAAAATACCCCGAGAACGCGGGGTACTTACGCTAGTTTACATATTTGTGTCCGCTCAGCCAGAGCCAGCTGGAGCAACACATTCCTTGGAATGTTCAACGCCCTTCTTTCAAACGGCAATGCCTAGGGTTTGCACCGCGCGACCTAGTAGAGGCACGATCCTTGACGCAAAGGAGCGACGGAGGGGCTGTACGAAGCCGCACCTCGCACCGCTTCCCCCGCTCTCATCGCCTTTGGCCCCACGCGTGGGACACTTCGCACAAAGAGTGTAGTTGTACGTGTGAAAAGCCAGCTGATCCCTCAATTGGAGCGACACCTGCTAAAGAAGCATTAGAAAGGCGCACGGAATTGTAATAAGAGTTCGGAATCATCACTGATTCGGAATACGATCAGAGGGAGATTCTGGCGCGATTTGGAAGTTTCCTTGCTACATTGGCGGCGAAATCCCTGTCTTGCGGGTTCCCGTCGATCTACATGCATCAGAGGTGATACGAGGAAACGACCGGCCCTGTCAGAGCAAGATTGTTGGTTCCGTTTTTATAATCAGTGAAGAAACTTTTACACAACAGTTTCTTGAAAGCCATGTTAATTTCGCAATTAATGTTTAGTTCATCTATTCTAGTTACGTAAAAACCGTCAAAACGCAGCCATTTACTGCGTATTCTAATCTCTCTTGTTTTCATTGCGGTGGCATGGAACATTAAGTAAATGAAAACTAATCTTGAAATCAAAGATATTTATATAGTTTTGAATTCATATAGTAAAAGGAAAATAAAATCATTTCAGTTGAGGTGTAACTTTTGGATAATTTTACAAGCTTATTGGATGTTGAATGAGTGTGAAAAAAATCACTGAAAATGAAGTCAACTTGATTAAGAATCATTCAGAACAGTATTAAAGAATTTTGATAGTGGTTAAAAGTAACAAAAGAAATTAAGAGAGAAGAAATTAGAAATTAAGTTCATGTTAGTTCACTGAAATTGTCAAAAGATACAATTACAAAAACTCATGAGGTGATATACTGTTACTGATTTACAGAGGGTGTGATTTCTGAAGATTGGTTTCATGCGTTTTTGTGTGTTTTTTAGGGATTTCAGAATTTCATGAGTTTCTTTGGTTTTGTTGTAATTGTGTGTGTTTAAACCTTCGTGAATATATGTGCATGGGGTATCTTCGTGTTTCTTGTTCAATTTTCGAGAACGTCTCCTCAGACCCTGAGATCCATGTAGCCGAACCTTTGTGCGTTGACTGGCTGATCTTTTTGTATTGTACAATCATCCACACTCTTATCAGGGGAGCGTAGTAGTTGTGTGTGTATGTGTATGTGTGTATATATGCCACGAAACGTGCAGTTTTTCGCTACATGCAAGCGTGTTCGGAGCGTCGGGAACGCTGAGGCATGCGTCACAATTGTCTCGGCACAACCGACGCCCGGCCGCATCCGATGACTCCACGAGGAAATACGGATGCGGCTGGCTCCTAACCCAGCAACGCAGCTGCACCTTTTCTCAGAACTTGGATGACATTCGACTTTCAACAGAATTTGGCGAGACTCGGCCGCTCATCAATTACGCCGCGATTGGGCGGAAGAAACCGCGCCAATCGCGGAAAACGAAGCGGGGGAGTGGCGTGACCCGCGAGGTCGAGGAGGCAGTTGCAAGACGCAAGCTCGGCCATTACGACAGAGGAGGCGACAGCAAGTTGCTTTGGTTTACTCCAGGGGATGCATTGCCGCATCGCTACATCGCGGGCCACCTCTGTGGACGCTGACTGAACGAGCCCAGGGCTGACGACGGGCCGAGGCGGCTAAACGCAGCCGCGAACCGTACCGCCGATGTCCGGACCAGCGTTGTTGGCACCCGTTGACGTCACGCAGCCTGCCATAACCGGGGTCGTGACCACCGGGAAGGGCGCCGCCCTGCTTCCGAAGATGAAATCTGGCCCGTACGGCCATATAATATAAGTTAGATATAAGGTAGGCTAAGGATTAACTTTAACGGGAGGCTTCACCTCATTCAAAGGGAACAGTAAAACCCATCTTTAAAAACTAACGATGTAGCACTAGCGTTAGGCCTATCACACATGCCTCCCTTTAGGGAGTCTGCGGACTGAGCAGCCGGGGCAACGCTGGATCGGACGAAATACCGTCAATCAGGTGAGTCGCGGCAGCCACATGGCGGGTGTGGCTACAATATAAAGCGATTTTTATAAGAATGAGGCAAAGTGACAGTTCGCTAAACAGGTGAACATCATATAAATCTGGGAAGTACTCCTCCGCCAAGGCAGCTTTTCAGACCGCTCCTTTGTAAAGTGTTTATGGCTCCCGTCAACGCACCGTTTTGCAGAAATCTAAAAGTTTCGCTGAGGTATATGCACGTACGCAAGTCAGGAAAATATTGAAATTTAATTACGTATGTGGAAAACTGTTTGAATATGCACTCATATTCAGTAAAAGAAAACTGCCACGAATATAAATAGAAAGAAAAATCATTTTTGCCGGTACGTTTAAATACCTTTTCTGGTCGTTTTGATTGCGAATGCCTCATGCATTTTTGTAGTGAAAAGGATAGTTTATTTATAATTATAACACTCCGACTATTAATAGTTAGTACTATGCTTTCATAACTCAAATGTGACTTAATAATTGCTTTATATGTCACTAATGTTCTGCATGTCAATGCATTGCTTCATCATGAACAAGGACGATGCCCTTTGCGCCCACTCTGGCTTTTCATGATTCTCAACCGTGTCACTTGAAACGTTCGCCCTTCATTCTCTTTCTCTCTTTCTTTCACTTGATCTTTCCTTTTCTCTTTCCACCTTCAGCTGGCATGTCCACGGAAGCAGTGGTGACAAATTCAGTGCCGTATTAACGCCAGGCCCAGAGTCCCCGAATGTCATTAAAAATATTGAATACTAAATTTTTCAAAAAATATATTATGAAATAAATTATAATACGAAATGTTGCTGGTTGATGTGTTTCAATTTTATATTGTATAATTCAAAACAAAATTTTAACTATTTAATTTGTAGTCTTTTGTAATGTAATTATCAATTTATTGTCATATCTTATACACACATGTTTAAATATTTTCTTTGACTAATGTTAAATTGAAACACTGAGAAATACTTTCAAAATATTTAAAAAAAAATACAAAATACAATTTAAATTGATAGGATTTTCTTTATATTTTAGCATCGAAAGTGGGTGGAGGGGGGGGATCAGTGAAAGTCCACAAATTAACCTAGGCTCAATGTCCCCCAATCACATTAAAACATTTCTTCAGAAATTGGGATAGCAGTATTGTTAACTCATACAAAATCATCTGTCATTGAAAATTAGTACATTTATTTAAGTAGTACCAATGCACATTGCGGTTTTGGTTCTCATTTTGTATTAATACTTTTAATAGCACTAAAACTATCATGTTATCTACAAAAAAAACTCTCATTCCTATATTCCCAGTCTCAATCTAAAAATAGTGTTTGTGTAGGTAATTGATAGATGCACTATTCTCCACTATTCTCTGGAATTATATGCATCAAAATTTTGGCACAGTCCATGTTTTATAATATTATTCAAATACCTATGAACTATTAATATAACACATTTCTATATATATTCAAAAGAAATTTCTTACCTCTGGTCCAAGCAGTTGGCCAAGAATAATGTAAGAGGAAACTGGAAAGAACACATCTGCAAAATGAACAAATTGAAACACACATTTGTAATTAATTTCCTGCAACAATCCATTCTAAGTAATACTGTTGGCCAGTTTTGTGGGTCTGAAGTATTCATAAATAGTTTCATTGAACAACATAATTGGAACCATATTGTTTGAAAAAAAATATCCCAGTTTTTGAGAACACTGTGCTAATACATTCATGGCATAATGAAGGAAAGTATAGAAATAATATAAAGTGCCAAATTCAGAGGAGCGTTTTTCAAGAGATACAGGAAAAAGTTTCTAAAATGGTGGTGTCATTTATCACCAAGATAAACCACAAAGAAGTGATGATATTAGTTCATAATATAAGTATATGGGAACTTGAGCAGCCAGAAAATTCCCTGCCAAGAACATGGATGGGCTATTTGGAACAAAATCATACACACACCTCAACTAATAACAATTTACAAAGGTTAAATGTACCATCAAACTCATTTTCAAATACATAAAAATATAAAATGAAGTTTGTCATGTTTTGAATAATTCACACCCGACTGTACACAGTGTTTCTAAAAAGCTTGAGCTATGTGCATCAATATTATATATAAATAAAAAATATAATTAATGTAGGGGAAAAGTGGGAACAGTGATATGCAAAATTTGGATAACAAATAAGATCCAAAAGAATATCATAACTCCTCAAAAATGTTGGTGCAATACATGGCAAACAACATTACCTGATTAACCATACAATCAATTATCAATGTATAAAAAACTGAAAATTAAATTGTCTAATTGCACCTTTGAGAACCTGATTGTGGGAACAATGAAACATTGTCATAAATCCTAGCAAACATCATAAGAACCTATAGGAAATGAAATAGCAGATTGCTATCATCTTGTCTTAGTTGTGGGATAAGGCAAAATCATTTTTATCCATTCTTTATGAATGAAAGAAATATCAGGAACAACAGGCACTACAAATTTGTTGCCTAGCTTCGTCCTTTTCCTATAAAATATCACTTCATATTCCAATGGCTTGTTTACAGACAGAATTTTCCCAACATTATAATTTTTTTTGTTTTGAACTCCACTAAAAATACCCCCTATGATGGACGATCTCTCCTTGTTTTCGACATCCACAAACTCAAGTTCAGAAACTAAATGGAGAAGATCATAATCATGATGAATCTTGCAAAATCATTTCACCATAACCACCTTCACAGTCATCTTGAAACAAATTGTTTTTCTGGTCTAGAGCAATTCTGCCATGTCTGTCTATCATTGTTCTTCCTCTAGGCCTTCTGTGATTGCCAGTTTTCCATGTTTTAACATTTGGGAAACCTTGCATTACTACTTCTTGAGAGATGATCTGAAGATTCTTCGTCTTCTCCTTCTGGTATAAAGGCAACGCCTGTTATGCATCCGTTCCCATTTGGTCTTCAGGCAGCCAGGATTTCTTCATCCCTGTGGGCGGTATTGTAGAATTATTTTCGGCAGGTGCTTGTCTTGCATCCTTTCAATGTGCTGCGCCCAAGAATTTCAGTAGTAATTGATTTTCTTTTGAAGATTAAATACCCTAAGTTCTTTACAAATTTTGAATTTCCTTTTCTTTTCCATCAGCTTATAACCATTGAATGATCTAAGAATTCTCATTTCAGTCCTTTGTAGTCTTGTGCTATCTTTTTTGGTTATTGTCCAATTTTCACTTCCATATAAACATGTTGGGGTACTTAATACCTTGTAGAATATAATCATTGTGTGCTTTCCGACTTTCTTTACCAGGGTTATCAGTATTGTTCCATTCATACGATTTTCTTTTTCAATTTTCTCCTGTGTATCTATTTCCCCTCTGTATGACATTTTGTATCCCACGATATTCAAACTTTAAACTTGCTCAATAGGTGAATTATGTACAACTAATGTGGATCTATTTAGTTTCATCCCTTCTTCTAATAACATTGTCTCTGCAATATTATATACTCTGGATGCGGGGTGAAACCTGTGAGCTGAGACTTTCATTAAGAGGTCTATCAGTGACAGATGTTAAATAAAAATCCTCCCCGTTGAAAGCATGGCGATCAGAGGGAAATATGTGTGTAATTGCAAATCTTAAATGAAACAATCATATATTATTTATTTTAAAAATGTGTTTTCTAACTTTTAAGTTCCGGAAACCTGATTTTAGAAACGAATAGCAAGAAATCCGAATGAAACACGTCTGGACAGGACAGTGAGGCATGTCTCAGTGATTCTCCATTACTAATGTCTCACTGTTCCCAAAGATAGATATAATTTGAAACTGACTTTCTTCTTTCATAATCTTCAAATTCAAATCATTATCTTGTTGAAATTACAAACTTTTAGGTTACATAATGAAATGTGGTCAATACTTCATGTCTCATTGAAAGAACAGCCACAAAAATGAAGTAAATATTTACTTTTCTAACCTATGAACAAACTTTTGACAAAATTTCAGCATCAGTTTTGAAACAGCAACATACAAAGTAAACAGTATGCATAAATATCTAAAAGATTACATTAAGACCACCAAACAAAAATTTTCCGTTCTATGCCAGATGACTCACTGTACCCAGCTTTTCCCTACATATAAATATTGTTATATTGTTTAAAACTTCCTACATATCACATTCAGTAGAAATTGACAGAATGGAATACATATGGTTCCAATTATGATACTTTTCTTTAGCAAAGATTTAGCATTATTCTTTAAAAAAAAGTAAATTACAAATGATTAGCTTATTGCAATGATTTTTATAACCTTCATAAAACAGACTCAGTATTTTTTTAAACTCTGTTCATTCTTTTTGACATTTAGTCCCTATTTGGGATCTTTTTCTAAACTCTATTGTCCAGGCTTGACACAACATTATAAACAAACAACAATTTGATTTTAAAAAATTGTCACTGGTATAAAAAAAGCGGTAAATTCTGAAAAATGTGGCGAAACATAATAAAAATCATGCAAAAAAAAGAAGAAAAAACAGGTAACAGATGCTAATATATTCTTTAATACAAATGATTAGCTTATCTAGGCCTCAACTCAGAAGATTTTAAATGGTCTTAATAAGCAAATTTGATGCATAAAGTATAACTAATTTCTGCAATTAACTTTCTTTGACAATAACTTAAAGAGATCATCTCTCATAATGATTTGATGAGAATCTAAGCAATGTAGTATGTAACTAACAGATATCAGCACACTGAACGGGTTTTAACTTTTCCATATCTGACATTAGTGCTGAAATGAATGACAAAGAATTACTCATAAACGAAGAACAAGTAATCTTAGCTTGCTAGATGTCCACTTTTAATAAAAATTTTAAAAAAATGAATGTCTGAATCTCCAAATACATCATGGTTTAACATCACACTCATGGGTTAACTTGAATGTCAAATTCAAACACCCACCTGTAAGAAGCCATAAGCATATGTGAATGACCCTGGCAGATAAGAACCATTCACTATGGTGCCCCAAGCAAAGATGATCCCAGTGTGTCCCTCGATAATTTCTCCAATTGACCACGGACCTACAAATAAAAGATTACATGGGTATTCTATCAACTTGCTGGTTATGAGCAGAGTGCAACTTTCACTTGTTCATAAATTACCCCCACCACTTGCCAAATACTTTGGATACCAACCCTTGGAATTCACTCACTGTTTCACCATGTTAATCTGCAATTAGTATTTTTTTTTCTTTCTGGTTTTACTTTTCAGTTTGTGCATATTTGTGTTTTGAGAATGTCAAGGTTCAATGTAATGTCGCTATTAGCAATTGTCTTGATGGAACAGGCTGCTGTTGGATGGGTGAAACTAAACCTTGTTCCAGGCAGAAATGCAATGCCTTGGGTGAGACACTGTTCAAACTGCAAACTATTTCTTTGGAATATTTTGCTGTCAAGAAACCAACAGGGAAAGACAAGGAAGGAGACAGTTCCTAGCAGTCGCCATACTTCAAACATTTTTTCTAATTGTGCACCTTACTGTGTTCATCAAATTAACATTGTTCACGTGGCAGTGAACCGTTTCCTTCACTTCATAGAGCCTATATATTCATCCATTGTACACAAACATTGTTGGATTATGAGCTACTTTTGAAATTAATTCACATAAATCCATCTTATTTCCTGTACGTCAAGCATTTTCATCCTTACCAGCTTTATTACCCTTTCGCTTGTTAGGCTGATAACGCTTAGTGGAGTGGATGTTTTAGAACATGTGAACATTGCACGCCACTCATAACCAACAGATCACTAGAATCTCCTAAATTTTTTATCAAATCAATTTTCATTTTAAAAAGCAATAACTACTTACCTATAGTAAGATACAGAGGGTACAAAACTAAAGGATAGAAAATACGATCAACTGTAGCCAACACCCAAAGTTTTCGAACCCATCGGCGAATGCAGCGTACAGGAATATTAGGTTTTTCCATTTTTCCTACTGTAACAAAGCTTCATTTGATTACATTTCACTACACATATATAAACCCAAATATCATGTAAAAAGGAATAATGTTCAAAATAAGAAAGAAAATTGTAATTCTTCTCATCACCATACCTTTTGCAAGTCTATTAAGAAATTTGAAGACGCACAATGGCACTACACACACGACCAAACTGGTTCCAAAGAGGAATTGGAACTACGACAAACATTACACAATGAAATAAATACTATAAAAAGATATAGTAGTGAAAATATTCTCATAAAATTTTGTGTTACTTACCACCATGCTGACATTGCACATCAGTGCAATGCGAGGGAGCAGTTTAAAAGACATGCGTGATCCATCTAAAGAAAATGGTTGCTCCATCATCTTTTCTCGGCCATGCTCATCTTCAACATATACCTACAAATATTGTTTTTTTCTGTTTAAAAAACCAATTAAAAGAAAACTGGTAGTTTCAACATAGCCTAGACTTTCTGCTAATGTATGTTACAGTTATGTAAAATTATAATAATTTTATTGAAACTTAAAAATTATCTCTTACAAACCTCTCCTCCTCAAACTACTTGAAACACAGTACACTATGTTCATTCCTTACCATCCTTCAAGATTTTTGTCATAAAAAAATAGAGTTTTTGACCTATAATGTCGATAGCTTCAAAAAATGACAATAATGATCCACTACAATCAGTGACGTAACTGGCCTTTCCGGGACCCCGATTCAAAAACTAAATTGCCCCCCCCCCATAGAGTTATGAAAATAAACAAATCACTATCAGAAGGAACCTTTAAAGAGTGTTCAGTTAGACAAAAAAAATTGCTTGGGACCCTCTCTGCCCAAGGGCTTTACATAATAGCCGGTGGTAGTTACGTCACTGACTAGAACTTGTTACCATGGCAACAATGCCTTTTAAATTTTAGTTTTAGGTATTTTAGATTTAAATTTATTGGTAACTTTAATCATAAACAACATACAGGCAGAAACAAAGCACAGCAACAACAAACAGGCTTATACATTCATAACATAAAAAAACAAGATGGACAGATGGGATCATTCAGGGCAACAGAATGGATGAATAATAGCCAAACAGGCAGATGTATGGCAACAATGCTCTCAACTTTTCTAGATGTAAATGCATTGATACAAATATACCCAAATATCAGAGGACAGACAGAATGCAACACAACCCAAAACCTTTTTTTTAAATATTTAAATACGTTAGTACCAACAATCATAAATAACAGGTAGGCTCACACATGTAGAGATGGACAGGCTGTTAGATCAACAGACATTTTTTTAAAAATTCTTTGGATGTTCAGGACTTTCAACCGGTTACTTTTTAAATCATTTTTCTGCAGCATTGCATAACTTTCTCCATTAATATGTACAGAGGAAGTAAAATGGTCACATTTATTGTTTTCTATGCAAACTTTCTAATGTATAAAAGGAGGTTGCTTTTTATGTTACATTGTTTATCTTGAACCAGAATCTTACTACTTGCATTGAAACAAACACAACAATTCAATTTCTCATTTTCAGGAACTATATGTCTATTTAGTTTTCTTTTTACAGTATTGGCCATTTTCCGCATCCCAATTTCTATGCCTCTTTATCCCATAGGTTGTTTTCCTCCATTTCTCTTTTTTTCATGGCTTGAGTTATTGCCATGTTCCATGTTCTTCTTGGCCTTCCCCTGTATCTTCTTCGATTTGATACCCAATCCTAAACTTTTTGTGGAAGTCTATCTCATTTTAACCTTCTCATAAGTCCATACCATTTTAGTTGTTTCATTTCAATCATCTCATTCAAAGGTGTTTGCATTTTCATTTTTTTTCTTATTTCATCATTTCTTATTTTGTCTAACAGAGAAAGTTTACAACATCTTCGCCAGAACATCATTTCTGTTGCTTGAAGTTTGTCTTTCATATTTTTTGTTAGTGTCCAGATTTCTGCCACACAGTGTTGTACTCTCTATGAAGGAGCTATATATGCATTTCTTTGTTATCATTGAGTTCAAATAATTGAGTTCCAAAGCACTGGATTCAACTGTCTTGTGACTATTTTTCTTCTTATATTTTTATTTTTCACATCGTGTTCGTCTCTACCATCCGCTGAAGTGTGACTCCCAAATACTTATACTCTTTATTACCTTTAATTATTCCTATACTAGTCTCTACATCAATCACCTCATCAATTCATCTCACCCCCATATATTCAGTCTTTTGTACATTTATTTCCATTCCCCATTTTCCATACTCTTATAGTAATTTTCTGAACATGTAAGTTACATCATCTTCATCTGTTATCACCTGGTCGTCTGCAAATAGTAGACTAAACATTGTTTCATCACCCATTTTCACACCCATACTTCTGCACTTTTTTTCCATTCTTTTAGGGCTTTATCAATGCATATTTTAAACAGGGTTGGAGACATACAGCATCCTTGCCATAATCCTTTATTTACTGGGAAGTCGTTTGATAGACATGTTCCCACTTTTACTTGACTTTTGATATCTTTATAGTTGTTTGACTGCATTTATGTATGTTGTTGATATTCCTTTTTCTTCCATTGTCTCCAAACTTCTTTAACTAGTACATTATCAGCAGTCTTTTTGAGATCTATGAAAATTATGTGAAGTTCTCTTCCTTGCCCAATTGTGTTTTCCATCAGTTGTTTGGGACAGAAAATATTGTCAATACAGGATCTTCCAGGTCTAAAACCACTTTGCTCTTCTGAGTCTGATGTTTGCATTTCAATTCTATTCTTTAGCACATGCCCATCCAGTCTAACCAAAGATAAAAGTCACCCTTATCCCTCTATAATTATTACAATATCTTTTACAGCCTTTTTTGTAAACTGAATTCGTATAGGATAATTTCCATATTTCTGGCATTTTATCTCCTCTCAAAACACCATTAAATATTTCTGTTATTAATTCCAAACCTACAATGAGATAATATTTAACCAACTCAATGGATATACCTCCTGGCCCAGGTGCTTTATTATTTTTCATGTTTCTTGACACTTTTTTTTACCTCTTCCAAAGTCACATCTGGTATGATCAAATTTACATGCAGTAGTTCATAATCTATTCCCTGAAATTAAGTTATATTTTCTGTCCAAAGATTTCCATAGTATTTTTACCATTTGTCAAAACCAATTTGGTCTTCTAAATGCCATTCTTGGATTGTATTCAATTCCATGCCTCTCTGGATTTGATGTAACCAATGCACTTATCTAATCTGTCATATTTTTGTTCCCAAACACATTTTTTGCCTCTTCACTTCTTTCTTCGCCAAATATTTCATTTTGTTATATTCTGTCTTCTAAATCCTTTATTGAAAGCCATCTCAAATACAACCTTTTCTTTTCTTCGGCTATGTTCTTTATGTCTTCTGTCCATCGCAAGTCTCTTCTCTCCCAAAGTTTCTTTAGCTGCTTCATGAGTGCATTTTTCTAAAAATTTGTCTTCAGTATTTCCTATTGGGATATATTTTAATTTTTCTGCCATGCGCAATTTGTGCAAAAATGCAAAGTAATCATCTTGAAGGCTTTCAATACTGTATCTCAGCCACATCTGACTCTCTATTTTTCCACTTTTGTATTTGGTTTTGTATTTCCAGAACTTCTGAAGTAAGGTTTATACATAAGGTAAGTAAGTAGTGGTCTGATCCACAGGAAGCACCTCTTTGAACCCGAACATCACTCCACTTTACAGATGACTGTTGTTTTGTAAGTATGTAGTCAATTATTGATTGCAGTTTTCTAGTGGGCTGGGTCAATGTGAATTTATGAATTTCTTTATGTGGAAAAAAACCATTCAATATTTTAAGATCATACAGTTCACATGTCTCTATAAGTCTTTCTCCATTGTCATTTACTATATTTTCACCATATCGCCCCACAACATTATGCGCTATTCATTATCCAACTCTTCTTTGAAGAGTTTCTTTTGTAGAAGCACCACCTCTTTGCGATTGTCTATTGAAACTAGCAGCATAGTCAGTTTCTCTGAAAACATATCTTTTTCTGCAACACTTGCATTGTCCTTTGGAGCATAAATTTCAATAATAAAAACATTGCGTTCTTTTAGTACAAGATCGAGACACGCTCTTCTCTAATCAATTGCTTCCCAGCTTTGAATATTTTTCTCCAATCTTTTATGTACAGCTATGGACTCTCCTGCTCTTGCTCGCTTTTCTTTTCCCACTCCACTAAAAAAGTGAGCAAATTTATTCTTCCTTTCATTTCCATTTCCCTTCTTTTTTGTTTCACTCAACACTACAATAACCATGTTAAACTCCTCTATTGCATTAAACATTTCATTTACTTTAGTGCTTAAACCTTGAACATTCCAGGATCCAAAATTCACAAACCGTTTTCCTTGCCTTTGTCAATGTCATGAGTGAATCTGAGGCTTATTTCCATTGGGAGTTTGAGTGGCTTTTTATATTTTCCGAGTATGGGGTGCTGGCTATGGGGGTGCAGGTTGACTTTCAGAAACATTTTCAAAATAATGGTTAATATTTCAAAACTTTATCAAATGGCCAGTACACCAATGAGTCAAATGTATGTCAAAGTTCAGGGAGAGATTCAAGGAATCTGAATTGATGTTTGGATCTTGGCTTTCAAGTTGCTCATCAAGGAAAAATTAAATAAAGTAAGTTAGGACTTGTCATTGCCAACAATACTTAACTTATTTGCCAATACTTATTTCAATAGCAGCTTATGATGGCTTAACCATCATCATGAGTTTTCAACAAATTAAAACATGGGTCAATATCAAAAACTTTAGGATTAATAGATTACAAATCATATTTTTTTTAATTAACTATAATTAACATTTTAAGAAATGATAGAAAGAAAAAAAAGTTGATGTTAAAGCATTTAATGTTACAGTAATTTTAAACCTATGTAAGAGAATGAATCAAATTGGATTGACCATGTGAAATGTTGATACAGGAAAACCTGAAATGTAAGTTGAGCCATTTCTTACATGCTGTATGGAAGCCACAACACAACTACGCAAGTTCGGGCAGGCCAAGAGGCTTAAGTACCCAGCTGTGGGGTGGAACAGGAAGAGGGTTAATGGCCTTGGTGCTGTGCGCTGTCTACTGCGCTACCCTGGAAGAGCACAGTGTGAAGGTGGTGTCTAATAATAATTTTAGTAGAGAGGAGGGGTTATGGTTTATGTTTTCATTCAGTAGGTTATCACTTTAATGAATATAGAGGTTTTCCAAAGTTAATGTGGTGTGATACTGATTTTCTATTTCTAGAATATGAATACCTGTGCATGGATGAAATGTGTGACTTGTCTTAAGTACATGATTGGCAAAGTGAGATTTATAGGAGTTGTGTTTCTAAGCATGTATATGTTCTTTAATTTTGGTGTTAAAAGTTCTGGTTGTTTGACCAATATATTTGGCTTTCAAGTTGTGACAATGTAGTGAGTAGATGCTGTTTTTTTCTGCAAGGACTGTGTGTTTTTTGGGAGATAGTTTTTTCTGAAATAAATGAATATTTGAATAAAAAAATATTTGAAATAAATAATATTGTTGGCAATGACAACTCCTATAATTATTTTATTAAATGCCAACAACTCACCACAAAACCAATAAGAAAATAGTTTTTGAGTTGATTTCACTAACACTGAATCATTGCTGTTAATGGCTGAGGAGGTTGGTCTGAGACATTGAAGGAAGGCAAGAGAGTAAAAACTCCTAGCACCGAAATATTTTTAATATAGGTACATTTTCTCAAAAGCAGATGAATATTTCTAATGAAGAAGAGTATGCAAACATGCAAAGTATGCAAATATGGAAACAAACATGCCATGAATGCATAGTATAAATCAATTTTTCGATCAGAAATTATCACTTACTTCCAAAGTATGTATGCCTTGTAGAAATTCTCTAGGATTCCAAAATGTTGTATATAAAGGACCTTCAATGTGTGAACATGACTGCCAGTCCCTTCCATCAATTCGAACATGTACTCTCTTGATGGCTGATAAGGAAAATGCTAGCACTCTAAAAACAAAAACAAAAAACACTATGAAAGTAGATATAATGTTCATTCATTTTCAAAATAAAAAATACTAAACAAATCCACTTCCTGACATCAATAGATCACAGTTTCAGGCATATAAAATTCAAAATGTGAAATGAATACCATAAGCAAGAATAATAACTGGTACCAGTAACTTATATTATTGTCCACTTTTGGATTAGTCCCTACCTGATATGAGTTGAAACAGAAATATGATCTAATGCTTCTCTTGTGGGCATTGCATATAAAGCATGTTTTGGATTTGTAACCAATACAGCTGGCCATTCACGATGAGGAATATCCACAAATGAAAATATTCCATGATCAATTGCAGCCAAACGATATCTGCAGATTAATGATAAAGCAAACAGCAGATCAGCAAAAACTTGAAGGACAAGGAAGGATTTTACTTTAATCATTATTTACAAGCATTGGTGGGATTCAAGGGTGATAAGGATAGACAATTGCTTCTCACCTCCCTGTAGGCAACCTAAACAAATGTTTAAGTTTACTTTATTTCAGCCTTATACACAAATTCCTCCGGAGCTCAAATATGCTCCCCCAAGGAGATCTGAAATCACGCTATCTACTAAGTCTGTTAGTCAGTTTTCTTATAAATTTGGAAGACAGTTTTTACTAAAACTTAAAACTCATCATCATCATCATAAACTGCAGGCATTTAGGTATGATCCTGTTCCTGTTTGTGCTGGTTCAGAAGACCAGGTAGATTAATCTTCTAGGTCTTCCTCAGTTTTTCCATCTCTTTAAAGGTCTTTCAATGTTTCCAACTGGTTTATATTTCCAGATGAGTTTTGGTAGTCTGTTACTCTCCATTCGGCAAACATGTTCTTTCCATCTCTTTAGTGATTCTTCAATAGCTTCTATTAGATTTATGGTTTTTAGTTTTTTTCTAATGTTCTTGTTTCTCAACCTGTCTCTTCTCGTGACTCCCTTAGGAGTCCTTTTAAGGTGCCTTAGGAATGTCATTTGTGCTGCATGTATTTTCTGCTCGTTGTTTTCCTGCATTATCCATGTTTCCGAACCATTTAGAAGCATTGGTTTGTGGAGGTTTGTCTGAGACATTAAAGGAAGATAACAGAAAAAAAAACAACTCTTAGTACCAAAATATTTTTAGTTACATTTTCTCATTAGCAGATGAATCTCCCTAATGAAGAAGAGGATTACAAAAATGCCATGAATGCATAGCATAAATCAATTTTTCAATCATAAATTATCATTGAGAAACTTACTTCCAAAGTATGTATGCCTTGCAAAAATTCTCTTGGCCTCCAAAATGTTGTATACAAAGGACCCTCAATATGTGAAAATGACTGCCAGTCCTTTCAATCAATTCGAACATGTGTGATGTGTGAACAACGGTGATATTACAAAGTTTCAATATTGTGGTAGAATCCATATCTTTCCCTAAGTGCCTTTTAATGGTTCCACACATAGTGTAGAAATTATGTAGCTTTCTCTTGATGTCTCTTTGAGTGTGTTTTAGTATGTTGATTCTGTTTCCTAGGTAAGTGAGTTCTCTTACTTGCTCTACAATTTCCCCATTTATTTAATTTTTAACTTTTCTTTGTTCCTTTCCTTGAATTGCCAGGGATTTTGTTTTGCTTATTGATATTCTCATGGAGTATTCCTGGGCAACATTTAATAGTTCAAAAATTGCCCCATGTAAGTTGTCTTCAGATCCTGCTACTATTACCTGGTTATCTGCATATAGTGTCAATCTTTCTATCTTCTTTGATTAAAATTTCATGGCTCATCTTCCTCCGCCAATACCTAATTAAGTGATTAATATAGATGTTGAAGAGAACTGGCGATAAACCATATAATGTCTGAGGTCACTCCTAGTTGTTATTGATGTCGAGTTTTTCCCCTTTCCTAGCTGTACTTCTATTCTGGATTTCTCAAAAAGGCTATGTACTACTTTAATTAAATAATGTGGGATTTTCTACTCTTCCAAAATTTTTTATAATTTTTTCCTATCAACTCTGTTGTATGCTTTTTTGTAGTCCACATGTATTACAAATGTAGGTAGGTTTACTTCTTTTCTTTTATCCAAGAACATTTGTAATGTGAAGATGGCGTCTTTGGTCCTCCTTCCCTTTTTGAAGCCAAATTGTTCCCCAACCAGAAATTTTGCAACTCAAAACTAATAACAAATCATAACAATTTGGATTGAGTACAAGTTAAATAATGGACAAAATTATTCTTTTATTTATTGTTAGTAAAAATTATAAAATGTAAAAAGGGAGTTGAAAATAATTCAAAATTTGACTTTAACTAGGAAATTTTAGTTAAATTTATCTTGAGCTATGATTTTATATTACAAGTTTCTCTAGAATCAACATTCAAAATGTTTTAAATAATAGTAACTTTTAATATAATTAATTAATTGGCTAACTCTATGTTGTCAAAAAATATCATAGAACAAAATAAATTGTCTTATGTCAATTTTTCATTGTGTTAGAATAGATTTATGTAATTAACAAAGATCATTTCAAACAATATATTCTTGCTCTGAAGTTTTGTCATTTTAATAACAAAATAGCAAATAAAATACTCTGATTTTTTTTTTTTTTTTTTTTTTTTTTTTTTAAACATATTTCACTGCAATTTTAATTTCAACACACTTTCTAAATCATCAAATAAATATATTTCTACAAACAATATATTAGTTTCTTTGCTTCATTGAATATGTCCGTTTCATTTTACACATAAATTTGAGTTTTAAGTTTCATCTCATTGGAAAACAAAATTTTATTAAAGTACGAAAAAAATATACTATTATTTTTTCTGTATACAACTTCAAGCACATTGCATAGGTGTAATTGCTCTGATTATGTGCATGCATAATTTATCAATTTATCACATATTATTTATATGCATTATTTAAGTGTAATGACTATCTAGTAATATTTTCTTATTCTTCAAAATGTTTTTTACAATAGCAGACACAGATTGACAAAGAAATGTATGGCCTTATATAAAAAAGGAATCTATATGGAAATCCAACAACAACACTCAGACGTTCACTGCAAGATTTCATCGATTTGTTTGTGGGCCACAAATTCAGGTTCTTTTGCATGTTAATATCCATCTTATTTGCCATCTGCTTTACATCTTTTGTATAGTAAGGGGGTAACTCGCATGCGTCCGTCCATTTTTCACAGTTAGACCTTCTTCTGTGAGATCTCTGTGTTATTTGATCTACTGATTTGAAATTGACCATATTTTCCCTGAACTTTCTAAAGCAATCCAATTGTTAAAAATAATTTTTGATTGGATAGGGTGAGGTGGGGAATTATGGGATTTACATAGGTAATCAATAGCTCATTTGATTCCTCCTGACAAAATAGTTTGGCTAGATTATTCTGGAATATTCTGAAATAATTCTACAAAGAAACATATTTTCACATACCACAAACAGCATGAAGACATGCTATTAATTACTGTACAACCCTTTGAGTATAACATGAATCATTATGATTTGATTCATCAGATTAATATTTAAACCCAATTTTGTAATTGGGGAGTATAAGAAAAAAACACTTTTTCATGTTTCTTTCTATGCTCAAGATGGTCAAGCAAGGCAAGTGAAGTTTTGAAAATTTTGTATTACTAACTTGCAGAACACAAAGAAAAATCTTAAAGACTTGAAAATACTGGTGGAGGTCGCATACTAACCTATATTTTAAATATTTCTTTAATGTCTTTATCTGCTTCTAGTCAATGACTCTCCAAAATTAAAATGAATGAGTGCACAAATTTCGTAGCTTTTGGGTATGTGAGAAATATGTCAGAAACTCCTTTAACTGAATTAATTCCCTTCCTGACCTTTCTTAATTGTACCACTAGCTTATTTTTAGCTCAGGAGGGCCTTAATTATACCAGATAAAGTGACGTTGAATCACAGAAGAATATCATGCTTTTCTATCCAACACATGCCACAAATTGTTTAAGTTTGGAAGCCAAGAAATGAGCCAACTCAATGTTACATTTCAAACTGGAAATTCTCAATAAAAATGTTACCTCTCTAACAATATGGCAAGATTTTTCAAGCAAAGATTTTTTTGATGGTGAAACGTTATTAAGCTTATAAGAGAAGCGTGGAATCATGTCAACATTTTTAGTTCCTTTTGTGTTTCTTCTCTAACTTCATGCTTGCCAAGCAACACCAATGATCTATAAAACAAAACTTTTTAACTTGAGGTTGGTTTTCTTCATTTCCCTCACTATTTGATTTATTCCAGTTCACAAAAAAAAGTATTGTAACTATTATTTAAAGAAAGTATTGTAAGTATTGTAACTATTATTTAAAGAAAACTGTTTACATTTTGAAAGAGGAGGGAATTTCCCCCATCCCCCATAGATCCACTCCTGATAATACAGTATAACAATATGCAGGAACTGCAGGAAAAGCCCAAGAACAAAACCTTCAATTTAGCTTATATTAAAAGATTTCTCAGTTGAATTTAAAGGCTGTATTATCCCAGGATGTAATACTTAAATCATGGAAGTCAGTGAGGAGAACGGCTGTCACCATGATAATAATTTATGATGTAATTGACTTTTATGAGTTCTTGTTTATCACATTCAGGCCAAGAAATCTATAATACATCTTTTCTAGTGAATTTTAATTACTCACATGCGGTTGTCCTTCCAATCTCCAAGTTCCAACTCCAAAAATCCACCGTGTTGTAAAGTATACATGTTAGGCACAAGTCCACCTAACATATGAAAATGGCCACAAAGGTATACTAGAGCCTCTGGAGCAGAACTCATCAAGGCTCGAATCCCAGAGCCAGGGGAAAGAATACAAGAAGTAGGATAGTGCCCAAACCAAATCACATAATTACTGCCATGTTCACGACCTTCCATTACTAATCTTTTTAAATTTTCCATTTCTGTCAATGTTAAAACTCCCACAAAGTTAAAAGGTCGCCGGGGTCCTGGATCCAGACAGGCATCCATGCCAATGAAAGAATATTTGACACCACCTTTTTGCACTTGGTATAAATATGATTTTTGGTGTTTCTGTCCCTGAATAGAATAATTTCGATAAAAATTTTCTTTGGAATGCAGACTTGGTACATTAAAGTTGTCTGAAAAAATATATGATTTTTCAAAACATTATACACAGTAGATACCAAATCGATATTGCAAAATAATTGCAGAGAAAGTTTATCAAATTATTGAATCTTACCATGATTTCCCCTTATATCTAACCAGACAGTACTTTGCATCACATTACACTCATCCAGAACTTGTCTATATAATTCCCATTCTTGAATAAATTGTCTTGAACCCATATTATCACTAGTTTTTGCATCAGTTAAGTCACCTGCGGTAATAAACAAAATTTTATTTTAGATCCAGAGATAGAAATGATACAAGAATTATACAACTGAAAAGAAAAAAAAATTACCAGATGCAAGAACAACAGAAGGCCCAATTGTTTTCACTGTAAGGTCACAAAACTCCTTAAGTTCTGAAATACGGCTTGGGTCATGGAATATACTTATATGAATATCTGAAATCTTAAAAAATGTAAAAATGTGGTCAGACCAATGATATGAATACACTATACTTTGTTCTGAATTATTGACATGTCATTAAAATTACAATGTGTGATAATGTGTATCATTTCCAACCTGTATAAACCACATTAGGTGTTGGGTTGAATTCCCTATCAGGTCCTTTGATGCACCCTTAACTGAGTGCTCATTGTCTTGAAGTGTTCTCGTATGGAACATCTGTCCCTCTTTGTTGAAATTTTCTATATCTACGGTTATTATATTGGTAATGTTAGCAAGAAACATTGAGAACATCAGCACAAAAGATACGACAATAAATGCTCTCTTGGATATTGGCATTTTGTGAGTACACACAGTTCTCTAAAATGCACGGGGGCCAACCGGGGGTTTAACCCCGCACCACCCCGATCAACTCTTACGCCCCCACGGCTTCTGCGTGCACTATTATAACCTCTTCGGCTTCAAATCTCTCAGCAGATTGAACAGATGATGGTATAAAATTGGACCATTGCATCCCGAGTCTGATATCTCGTAGATCGCAACTCACTGGCAATAAACTTTCCAGGGTGTCCAAAGGAGTTTTTGCACATGGAACAAAAGATTTTGAAAGTCGCAAACACAGTCATACTAATATATGTCTGAAACTGCCTCTCTCCTGTTTCAAAACTACATATAAAGCACTGCATGATGTATCAATACATGTAACTGTTGTTAAGAACTCTTAAATTACCAATTGAAAATTTACGAAACGCAATAGGTCTACTTTAATAGTAGTTTTTACTACATCACTTTTTGTTTCTGTTGAGTAGGTAGCTTGTATTTATATTCTTCATCCTAATTTTATTGTCGAATAACAACATTTTACACATTTATTCCGCCGACTGCAGACTTTCTCGTGATTGACAACTGCTTTTGGGCTCGGAGCATCATTCGGACATCCTGGAGTTATTTGAGCGTATTTGTGTGGGCCGCTTGTATAGGGTGATGTTGGGCTTCATGTTGTATTCTGAAAATCGGCGTGACCTGACGTGCTGCTGTATGAAATAAATGTGTAAATAAACGAAGAGAAGTGCGACACCTACAGTCTTTGCAGTTGATGCTGAAATTGAAAGTGCGAGTAATTGCCAAAAAAATATTTTGTTTGTAGGTAATTTGTGTAGTACTTTCTGTTTCTCGTCCGTGAAGTGAACATTTATTTAGGAATTCAAAATGCTAAAAGGACATACAGGAGAAGCTGAAACTTTGGATGAAAAAATTAAAAGAATTAGGAAGAAAAATGAGGAGATTGAGAAGAGAAGATTGGTAAGGAAATATAAACTCACCTTTAGCATGATTTCTTCTTGCTAATATACAATCTTTTCTGTTTGGAAAAGGGTGTCATTTATTATAACTTCTTGTTGTATATGTGCTGCAGGAAGTAGAAGCAGACAAACAGACAGCGGCAAAATCAAATGCATTGGTTCAATTAAATGCTCCCATGGAAGACTGGCCTTTGCCGAGATCCCATAGTCCTGAAGAAGAAAGAGAAAGGAAATTTTCAGGAATACATCAAGACAAACCTAGAGAAAGAAATCGAGGAAATGTTACATTTTGTGATACTGATGAGGTAGTCTGATTTCTGTACCTACTTATTTGTTTGCTGTATGATACATATATTTTTTTACATTTTATTATTTAATGGTGTTGTATTAGTCTAACAGACCACCACCTGACCCAGCATACAGATTCCTCGCCGACTCTGAGAGAGATCCTATACCTCCAAAACATATGGAGAGATCTCAGCGACATCTTCATAATCGGGGTAATAATACAACACGAGGTAGAAGCAGAGATTCCAAGGTATGTTAAAAAAGAAATTGATTTGGTCTGCTCTAAGTTAGCATACAAGCTCCTTTTTTTGTAATGGATGTAAATTATGTTGTCCAATTTCATGTATTTAAATGGTAAGTTTGTGTTTGGTATTGCAATAATTGTATCAATCTTACATGAGAAAGTGATAAAACAGGGATGTTCAATTACCTTTGAAAAAGTGAAGAATCAACATGTTTTAATGCCTGTATCACCTACACATATTGCAAACAATCTCTGCATCATTCCTATGAAAAATTACTGGTGTAATGTCTATATATCATAATAGAGAATTTTATTGTTATTTTTTGTATGCAAACGAAAATGAGGTTAATAAAATTTCTCAGTAAGTAATTTAGGTCTGATTCCCATTGTTTGTTTAGTTCCATAGGTTAAAATGTAGGTATTATCCGCTTCCTTCTATATATAAAAGTATGTTCTCATTGATTCAAAATGGAAGAATAGTATCTTCACTGATGATAAGAACATCCTTTTCAAAAAAGATTCAATAAGTACTACGAAATCAGTTGTTTCAAATTGCTTTCGTAATAATAATAAATTAATAGTAATTTAGGGGGAAAATAAAAGCAGTTTTACACTTTAAATTAATTATAGTATAGTCATTGAAAATGAACAATGTAAAATTGACTGATTGTTAGTTAACAACGTTTTTTGGTCTCTCAATTCAGTCAGTGTCATATGAGACGTTCATTTCAATAAATTGAACAAAAAATTAAGTTAATTATGCTACACTTTCAGGATTCTTTTAATTTCAATCAGCCATCCTACAGTTCATTGTATATATTTTGCAAATGTTTATTTCTACCTGAGTTACAATGAATATACTGGGAAGCACATCCTAAACCCCAGATTTTTAGATTTTCAGAAAAGATTGGTACGAATAACAAGCAAATCCCAATCATGTGGCTCCTGCAAGTCTTTCTTAATTAGGTAAGGGGTCCTGAGGGCCTTGCCTCTTCATATAGTTGGCTTAATTTAAAAACATAATAACAAATTTTCAAGTTATTTGTGTTTATTTAATTCTTTAAAAAATGTTTCAACAATGTTCATATACTGTCTTCATTAGGCTGTGAAATTAATTACAAACAAAACAATTAAACTAAAACAAAACAACCAGTTAGAACCTTTAAATATTAATGTATGAATTCCTTACTAACCTTTTATAATGGGACTTAACATTTTAAAATTTCACTCAGACTGTGTGAAAGTGTTTAATTTAACTGCCAGAACTGTGGATACCATTGATAACAATTTACAACTTCTTAGATGAGTGACACTTATTTACAATTCTGTACAAAAACATGACCATTAATTACAAATAATAATAATACTACTTTTATCTTCATTAATCACTCAAATTAACAACGATGAAGCTCTTCTTTATAATCAAACATTCTTCCATATACAGACAAACTTTGCTTCAACTAATGGTCACTTGACTACCGAGTTGTAAATAATTGATTGACCAAATGCCTCATGAAGTAAAGGGAAATAAAACAAGTGATTTGGAACTTTTACAAGAGGAGGTCTCAAGAAAAATAAGCACAAAAAAAAATTATAAAATAAATTTCTAGTTGTAAGCTATGCCGATTCAGAAAGTTTTTGTAACTACAAATTTGTTGTTAAATATCATTGGTTGTATTAGTATTTTAGTCTAGAAAGAATACTATCATACATATTAGTAAATTGATTGAATTCTGTGTGTTTGTTGCATACATCTTTGAGTTTGGTATTAGCGTTTCCATTAACAACCTATAAAAATAATTGGGTTCTAAATTAAATATCTTTCAATTGTCAAAATCTATGCTGTGATCCTTCTTTATCCTGTGTAAATAAATTTTGTCAGGATGTATGATCATTTATATTCCTCTATTCTGATAGTCTGCTTTTCAAATTACATTTTGTTTAAATTATATATTTCACCAAGCATTCAGAAAATTTAAGTAGATAAACTGAATTTTGTTTTTTTAATAATGGAGTAGGATTTTTAACATGTTTAATGAGATTCTTCTTATTTATGACAATATTTCTTGTTTTTATATTTCCTTGCCTCTTCAATAAGAATCCCTAGTTTTTGTCCAATCTGACATATTGTAGGGTGGGAACATGAGTTCATGCAATACAGATGCCAATTATTAGAGTCCATAACTTGGACAAAATACCTTTTGGGTCAATGACCACCATCTCAATCAGGTTTTTGTCCAGTTTCCCTGATCCATTGAGCAAATGCTGAGACGCTTCTGGACGTAAATGTTGCTTCACAATGCTCATGTTTTGTTGAACTCTCCTTTTGCTTGTAATGGTAAGAGTAGAGGTAAGGGCAAGTTGCTATTTTGCTAGCAATGCAGAAAAATCATACTTGCAATTCGTGTACAGATGCAAATAAGTTTTCTATAATTCAGAAACAAAAATGACAATTTTTCAAATATTGCTAATCTTGCAATATTTAAAATTTATTTTTATTTATTTATGTTAAACTTTTTTACTCATCTTTCAACTATTTATAGTTAAAATGACAGGAAGGAATTCTGGAACTCAAGAAAACTTGCGCAGATAATCTTCTACCCCCACCTCACATAGTTTTTACTGTTTTTTGTCTGAATAAATCTAAATCTAAACCTAAACCTTTTTTTAACAATACAAGTTAGCTATATTTTTAAAACAAATTACATCTTTCAAGTTCTAAAGTTTAGTTCTAAATATTTACATTACTGAAATTTAAGTTTTGCATTTCTTGGATATTTAAAAATTTAACTTTTTAATTTTAAAAGTAAACAGTCTTATAAACAGCGGAGATTGAAATATTTTCTCTTCTACACTTTGTCACAAAAACAGATTTCTACCCGTTAAAATGCCCCTAATATTAGGCCTATAAAATTACCCTAAAAATTGCCTAAATGTAATATTGCGCCTATAAAATGCCCTCATGTCGATAGGGACTTTCTCTGTTAGTGGTATCAGTCAGTTATTGTTTTACTGTTTAGGGTGCCATCAAACTCTAACAATTTCCATAGTCTGCAGTCCTTTCAAATCCAACATCATGTTGGAGACAAGTTAGGAAATTCAACTTTAAGAGACATTTTGGAAAAGTACACCTAAGAATCTGTGCCATGTGAATCAACTTTGCGCAAAGTGCACCTCAGTGTTACAATGCAATGATAAGAAAAATTCAAGAAGAATCTAAAAATGTGAAGATCTTAATTTATATTGATGAGGCAACTGATTCCACGGGTCATTTTCTTGCTAATGTCATTGTTACTCCCAAAGACTCTTCTTTACGAAACTATTCAATGATGATGCTTTGGCCACCATTGAATAATAGATCATTACAAATGTACATGAAGATAAGGCTACACTGTGTCTCAAAATGTTAGGTTGTTAACAAGTTTTTAATAAAAAAAAAATTTACAGACATGAATTACTTTAAATTAAATTAATAATTTAATCAAAAACTAGTCTGTCAAACAAACAGGTATACTTAAAAAAATTCTGATTGTATAAAAAAAGAGACAATTTTCAAAATATTTAAAAAAGTTACATTCATGTTCAGAAGCAAAACAAGCATTTACTCAATGTATCAGGGAAACTGGACAAAAACCTGATCAAAGTGGAGTTCGCTGATCCAGAAGCTGAAGTACATTATTTGTTATAAGCACATTAAGTTTTTTTTAAAATCATATAATACAAATATAAACTAATTTATTACATATCATTGTTGTTGTTTTTTTGTTTTTTTTTATCATTATAGTCTTTAATTGTATAGAAACAGTTATGCAGCACAAAATATTTTACTTTTAACTTAAATATATGTACCGACATTAATTGTTTAATTTCACATGTCAAGGCAAATTTAAAGTAACATGCATGTATTGTATATGGATTTCTTGTAGCAAGCTGTTGGTACTGACACTTGATGAATGTGATTTCTATGACTTGTGTTGTAATTATAAATATCAGTATTGCATGAAAATATGGTCCCGGCGTTAAGTAAGTCAATTTTGACAAATATTAGTGATTTATACATAGGCAAGGCAGTGGTAAGATTCCAAGCTCAATAAAGAGAGGCTTGCAGAGATCATGCGGATGGCATTTTTCATTATTCCAATAATTTTCTTTTGCAATCTAAAGGTCTGGGTACTATATGATAAGCTTCCCCAGAATATTATGCCATATCTCAGGCGGGAATATACCTTTGCAAAATACTCGCAACTAGCTGCATGAAGGCTGACAGAATTTGGAAGAATTCTGTATGTGTAACATAATGAACTTAATATCTACTCTGTTATGTGTACATTCCATTTGAGGTTTGTATGAACTGAGAAACCTAGAAATTTTGTTGCCTACCTGTTCCTCATGTTTGGATTTCAAGCTTCTGGAAATATGTTGTGAGGGTGTTGGAAATAGATCTATTGGTTGTCATCATAATCACTCAGTCCAGGCCTCTTGTAAATCAACCAACCCTAAGCTCCTAAGCACCTGCTTGTTTTGCTTGTAGATAAACGCAATTGTTTGTGAGGCCGGGTGAGTTACCTGAGAACCGCTGACTCTGCAGACTCCGAAGGGCTCCTTAGGTTCGAGACCCGGTATTTTGGTCCCTAGGTACATAGTTAGGTCGAATTCTGTAGTTGACCGGAGGATAATTGTAGAGACCGACTGCTCGAGTCGGTTGATTTCCCTAGCTTCTCCGATTAACACCAGGCGAATGCCGCAGCAGTTCTCTAACGCACTACCAATACAGGCCACGGAGTTTGCGCGATCTTTCGTTCCTCTTCCTTGTCCTATCCTCACCTCTTACTTACACACTTACACTAACATGCACTACACCGTCACACATGCCGGGCGCTTGACCCGGCTCGGGCGGTGCCCCGCTGGGGAGATACCTGTATCTGGGGGGAATCGAACGTAAAACTTTGAGTGGCCATTCCAGTTGACATGAGGGGCCCTGCGTGGGCGACCACCCCCCACAATTCCTTCTTCCACAAGGGGGCTTAAATTCCAGGGGTGGGCACAAGTACATAAGTACAAGCTGATATCCGGAAGCCACCGTTTGCCCTCACGGCAACCTCCATTCAATATCTGGGTTGGGACCGCTCTGCCAGCTCAAAGAATCCACACAATGCGCTACTCACGAGCGCCGGAAACGAGTCCCTCTTCTTTGCATCGGGCCATGCCACGACGAAGCCCATGAGGCTCGTCACTGCCTTCACCTTCAGGCCATTGACGCGTGAGTTCCGCCAGAACCTAGGCGACCGGTCGGGGTGTCTTGTCCCTATCCTGCCCGAAGGCCCAACTGGAGGGTTACCGGGCACGACAGGCAACACGGAGCTTAGCATCGTCCCCTCACTGCCTTCTTTTTGAAGACAAACTCAGGGCCCGGGTGGTCGTATACAGCTCTCCATCCGAAGCGACGCCCACTTACGCAGACGCGATCCCCCTGAATTGGTTGAGTAGATGTAGGCACCCAGCTGTCTGTTCGCTTTACTCGCCCCCGCTGGCGTGCCTGCAGAATTTGCGTGTGTGTGTGTGTGTAGGGTGGAGGCGGCGGCGGCGGCGCGGGCTACGAGGCGTGGCGCGCCGAGCGCTCTCGCATCGACCAGGAGCGCATCCGCCGCCAGCGCACGGACCAGGGCCTGTGGCGCCGCGAGTGGGACGAGCACAAGTGAGCACCTCATCCCATCCGCCCTTTTTTTTTTCGTCTATTCACGCAACGCGTCTCCTAGCTCCTAAGAGCTTTGGAGTAATCCTCCTGTAATAGACACCCTCTAGACCACTCTAGAGGTCGCTGCGTACTCAAGCCACATCAGGCGCAGTCAAGACAGGGAATCTTCGCGCTCGCGCCCTGCATCATCTACATATCGGCCAAAATTGAGAAGGAATAAGGATTAGGACGCTTCACAAGGGTTGGACTAGCCCTGTGAAGCATGCCTACTTGTTTTGTCGTAACAAAGTTTACACGAGGTTCTACGGGAATCGAACCCGGAACCTCAGAGCGGTGAAAGACAAGCGACTTCAGCATGCAGCCACGAGAGCATTCCCTCTCTCACTTTTCGATTCACTGGCGTGGCAAGTGTAGCTGTGAGTACCATGCCACCCTCAAAATGTAAATTATTACGTAACACTAATTTTGAGTACCCCCTTTCCCCCTCCCCTGGTACGCATTCTCAACGAGCGAACCTCCTCCTCCTAAATAAGTAGGTAATGCTCGTGACAACACCCACCCTCTTACAAGACTTAAAGTAAATTATGTTACTGTAAAAACAATTTGTATTAATTTTATTAGTGTTACATATTAAAATTTGGGATAATTTAAGTTAGAAGTAGCTGCAGTGCCGGAGATAGACGATTTTGAGCTCGGAGCACTACTGAAACCTAGCCCTTCCCCCTTCAAAATGTGAAAGTTGTATCAAGAAACTATAAAAGTGTTTTCCCCCAACAAATAACAAAAAATACAACATTTAAGCTAGAAAAATATTTTGAAAAAGATTTATACAGGTGTCCAGGGAGGAAAAGACGAAACTTCGAAAATAAGCATTTAGGACAGTTTTAAGCATATTTTTGTTTAATAAACTACCGGGATTTTCTGAATAGTTGAGCGGCAATAAGCACTCAAAAGTTGGTTGGAAAAAATGCTTTCTGGGCAAAAATTCGCATTGCAGAAGCACAGAAACACTCCAGAAACATGTAAATGGTTTAGTAAGAGCGTAGGCTTCCGCGGCCGGAGTCAGTATTTACTAGGCTGTCCGGTCCATGGCGAAGGTGCCGACGTTTCGGTCGCCATTCTGCGACCTTCCTCAGGGCGTAATACATTACGTTGCTTCCTCAGGGCATTACGCCCTGACGAAGGTCGCAGAATGGCGACCGAAACGTCGGCACCTTCGCCATGGACGCGGCGTCACCCAGGCAGCCTAGTAAATAATGTAAATAGTTTATTATTTAAAAAGAATATAATATACTTGTTCAGAAAGAAAAATTAACACAGAAAATAAAAAAAACACCCAATTTACCCTTTAGACTGCTTTATTTCTCGGTTTTAATTTTTTCATTTTTTAAAAATATTTTTCCCTTTAGTCTTATCATTAGACTCCTTGATTTTGGAGCCTCGAGCAATTGTCTGGTCTACCCATGCGTAGCACCGGCATTGCTCCCTCCTCACTCACCAAGAGAAAAGAAATTTGTGACAGAGAGTAGATGTGAGTAATGGGGCGCGGAGGGGGGAAGGGAAATGTACAGAAGACGTCTTGAGCCTTGTGTATAAAACATTTTATTACTGTAAATATTTTGAAATACTGTTTTTCCCTCTTTTTACCTGACAATTTGAACAATTGTTAAACATATTTGTGGCTATGTGTCTGTTACTATTATCATATATATAAGTTTATTTTTGGCCAATAAATTAAGAACAGACCCACCTTTTTCTGTAGGAAATATAGACCCTACTATTTTCATAAATAAAACATCAACACGTAGAAGTTTTATTAATTTAATACTCTGGTCTTGGAACAGAGTTGGGGGAAAATGTCCTCGAAACTGTTGCAAGACCATAGTATTCAATTAATACAAATTCTACATGTCAATGCTTTATTAATTAAAATAGCATACCTCCTATAGAAAAGGATTGGGCTGTTCTAACATGGGGAAGATCCAGGCCATCTGGCAAACATGCAAATGGTTCAACATGAAATCAATTGAATGACTTGGCTCTAGATAGTCCTATGTCACATTCTAAGTAGAATTTAAGTAATATCACCAACATTCTCATCATATCACTTATGACATATTGTGATGCTAGTGTGATAAATGACGCTGCATATCAGACATTTCTTTTTTTACTGTGTGACAAAGTATGTTAGATTGAAACTTCTACCCTCTCATTTCTGAGAATGATGTTGATATGGTGTAGGATCATCTAGAGCCAAGCTTATTAATCTATTATGTATTGAATCATTAAACGTAACTTACTTACACATACTTCATGTAAAATATGTCATGTGTAAATAAAATCGGTAATGGTAAAGGTGTGGAGCTCGGAAATGTAATTGGCCCACCGTCTTGTTTTAGGCCACACCTGTATATGACATTCAACAACTTGTATTTCAAATTCATATTGTTACATTGTTTTTACTTGTGTTGTTTGTTTTCATTGTATTTACTTTTACAAAACTACAGTATTGTATTGCCTTCACTTATTTTCATTTGTAAGTGTTTCTTGCATGTATGATTTGTTTGACGAGTTATTTAATTTTCTTAATTAAAAATAAATTTTCATTGCGACTATTAATATAAAATTCTTGCAAAAATTTTTTTTTTTTTTTTTTGTATTTCCTGATTTTATAGGACACAAGTATTTTGATTAAAATGCTGACTTTTAAATTTTTAAAACAGAAAATTGTTCTTTGTTGACAAAATGTAAAGAAAAAAACAGTTGTATTTTAGAATATGTTTGAATGTGATTTTAAAAAATGCCACTTTTTGTTTAAAATTTTTATGAAAATTTTAATAGATCTTGGCATCATTGTTTTTGAAATTTTGTGTAATCTGTTTTGGCATAATTATTTCGGTGTAATTTGAAGTACATACTAGAATACATTCTTCTCCACCATATTTTGTAATATTTTTTCCTCGATTACACATTACTCCAAATTTATCAGATCTATTTATGAAAGTTAGTAATGTTAAACAATGAATCACAAACTTTAGGTTATAAAAACATGTTAGCATTGCTGTTAATAGACATATCATGTCTTGAAGGTACCTACATTTGGAATACTCTTTAAAAATAATGAGTTAGTTGTGATATTCGCTTCATGAAAACCTTATAAAATGATTTCATGAAAGAAGTTAAGAATTGGGTGATATTTACTCAGCTTCCTACAATCCAGATTAAGTGGCAGAGAGAATTCAGTATTTTAAATGTAAGAAAATTTCTGATGACTGTTTACACTATAATTACTTTTTGTTTATTACTTTATTACAAAGTCCTGATTTCAATTTATTTTGCAGTGAATTTGAGGATATCCATTTACATTGTTTTCTGTTTGTGAGTTATAGTAAGTGAGATTCTTGATTTTTGAAGTGATTATCTCTTCGTCAACCATTTTTCAATTAATGTATAGCCTGCCTTGCATGATTACTCTCATCCTTCACATATCTTTTGTCAGTTCCTTCCTTATATAGTTTCAAATGATTGTTCAGTTTTAATTGTTTCCACATCCATTTCCTACACCACTTTCACTGATGCACCTACATCACATTGCCAGCTTAACAGCCACGTTCAGGGTCGGCACTGGGCATGGGCAGACTGGGCGATCGCTCATAGCCTTGCAAGTCAAGGGGCCTGATGATGGAGTGGGGGTGGGGGGAAAAAAATTGAAAAAGAAATTAGAACTTGAGGAAATCATTGTTGTAATTTGTAAGTCGCAGTACAGTAGTTTGATATTTTATAAAATTTTCAATTAATTTTTTACCTTAATTAGTTAATTACAGTCATAAGGCAGGACTCTGTGAAATAAATCAAATGAAGCCAACAGGTTCTATGAAATTCATACTTATTATTTCTATTAGTTCTATGAAATTCATATTTATTAAACAAGTAATTTTATTAAAGACTAACTAAACACAACAAGTTGCCTTTTAAGCTCACTGTAAAAATAGCATTCTTTGATCACTAAATATTTTACTTAAAACTATTATTTAAAATATATTTTCAAAAACTTTTTTTCTATCTTAAACAGAATTTTTATTATTTGTTGAAATAAAATAACTCGTCTAGTTTCTTTATATAACTTTCACATTTTAATGGAGGGGGGGGGCTACATTTCAGGATTGCTCCAAGCCCAAAATTGTCTAGCTCCTGCACTGGTCACATTCAACATCATTCGTCTTTTATTCTCCACAGCAGGATCCATAGTATCAGTAAAGATGTCATGTCCAGTCTTCAAATATAATATCACCAAATGATGTGATATCTAGCATACTTATCACCAGCATGTTCTGGGGATATTTTGTTTTCAAGGTCTGAAGATAACTGGAAGGAGCCTCGGAATGAAACATCTCGAGACTCACACTCAACTTCAAATAGGGCCTCTCGTTCAAGTATGTATCATTCTGTGGTTATTGTCATTATTTACTGACCAATTGTAGTGATCAAGCAAGCATCATCATTCTGATGAGTGATTCTTCTGAAAAGCAATTCTGCTTAACCTAACAAGAATGTTTCTTTTTCTATCCCCTTACTTGGAAAAAAAGGAATTGTTCTGAGGGTTTTTCATTATTAAGCTTACTTAATTTGAATCTTTCTGTATTGCCTACTTGTGTTGTCTAACAACAAAAAAAAGATTTTGAGTATTTTATTTTTGGGTGCATGGTGTTTGAATACAAACACATTCTTATGTAATGAAATCTATTAATCTGTTATCAGTAAAATTACAAAATAAAGTCATCAGTCAGGAAGAGTTGTGAATTGAGTTCTATTTAAATCATTCTTCATAACATCTTCAGTGAGGTGTATTATTGGCATGCATGAATAATATTTTGTTTCTATGATACAGTCATGTCATTTTCCTTTCAGAATTTAACATGAGTATGAGCTCTATGTATTTTAAAATACAATAAGTAAAATCTTTAATGACATAAAGGCATTACTGTTTGTACTGTTTCTGGATTGTGAATGTAGCTGTAGCCTCACTGTATTCACCTTTTCATCAGATCTCTTTAGCTGATGCTAACATGTTTTCTAGTTTTCCATTTCTTGGGAGTGAAAATTTCTAGTTTTCACATATTGCCGAACATGTTTGTTGATACCGTTATTCATAATTCAACTACATGCAATATAGTAAGAGTGCAATTAGGATCCCAAATCTCAAGAAAGCAGCAGATTACACTTCATCATTTGTCTTGTGCTGTTTTTTATATTTTTGATTTTTTTTTTAACTGAAGAATTTAAATTAATTGTTTATAAAGATGTATAAAAAGTTAAAATGAAAACTGGGTACAGTGCAGTGTGGGTTGCATGAAATGGGTAATATTGTGAACAATGCATGTACATGATGTGGGATGGTATCACTACCCAAGCCAAAAAATCAGTTTAAAGGAGAAGAAAATAACTTTTAATCTATGAGAAAATGTGTACTACAATTTTTGTTTCATTTCAACCTTTATATAAAAATATCTGCTGCAGCTGAAATGAATTGGCAGCTGATAAGAAATATAATTTATAATTCTATGTTTTATTATGTACTAATAAAAATTAATAGTGTACCAATCCTTGAATAGAATTAAAAGATCACCTACAGAAGTTTATTTGCTTACAGGATTGGTATGAAATAATAAAAATGCCTTAAGTAAGTGATAACAGAGTATTGAATGTGGCCATGATATCAGTATATGCAAAGTTTTGGCAGTATATTGCAAAAGTGTGTGTGCATGTGCTTAAAAGAGCGAGGTAAAAATAATTTAACAAATTGAATTCCAAGTCCTTAATGCTAAGCTACTTCTGGTAATGTGCTTTTCAATTCTTTCAGGATTGTGAATTGAAGATTGTTCTTTTCAGATGTTCCTCCTGAATCAACAAAGGACGTTATTATAAAAAGAAGAACATTTTCAGAAGAAAGTAAAGGAGAGATCTCAGTAAGGATTCAGAAGAATATTGGAAGTTGGGGTAAAAGTTAATTTTTATACTTTTATCTCGAATGTAAGAACGGAAATGCAGATAGATGGTTGGTATGTAGTTCAAATGACAGAAGGTACAATTGGTCCAAAAATGGGCAACTCCAGTTTGTGGACAATTTTTTTCTCTCTCTCTCTTCTTTCTTTTGAATAATCTGACAATAGTGTCAGACATTTAACTTGATTTACTTTTTACTTTCTTGAATACTATGCAAGTCACATATGAGAAAATATTGTACAACTGGAGCAAAAAGTGTCGTTTTGAATCAAAACATTAATTTTGGTCTAAAGAGGTGTAAAACATGAATAATTCTTGCTCTTATAAGTAGTTGAAAATTTTTTAATGATATATTGTAGAGTCAGAATCAATGTTTTATGTGTCCTTGATGCCAAAAAAATATTTTTTGTCAATCTGTCTGTGAACAATTCTAATGCTTATATTGTTTATAGGATTTTCACAAAACTTGATACCCCTTGATGGATTTTTATTTTGTGTTCTGAAAATACAAGTAATGAATTTTCATAAATGTAAAAGAGAATAATTTATACAAGTTGTTTGACTTCCCCCAAGAGATATACAGCCTTAGCTGAATTGGCTGTCATTATTGAACCTTGGTGCCGAAGTTCGTGACCCTGTTCTGCCAAATATTTTAGCATGGTGGAATCACTTTTATGGGTTCAGATAGTTTTTTATTTCTCTTTAGCCTTTGCGTAAGAATAGAGCACAATGAAGTGTGACAGAAAGCCATTTTGATTTAAACTTTTCCAAAATTGCTGAAGCATTGAATGCTTTTAGGAGAATGATGGAAATTAAGTGTTCAAGTGAGTGTTTTAGGGAAATGATTACAAAATAATAATTATAAAAATATATTATTTCTATAATGTGTTATGTAAACATCCCTTTTCTGGATGAAGTCATTCGCAGCAAATAAGGTGCCGTTTGAAAGCTCACCATCCTTGGTGTCTACATGTGTAGTTTACACTTTTGCATGCCTTATATAAACAGTAATAACATGAAAAAATATTTTTTTGAAATTACGACATCACGCACAACCTGGTGGTAAAGTGGGTAGAACCGGGGTCATCCGAGGCAGCTCAGGGCAAGGAGTGTAGAAAGGAGCGGGATGGATTTGGGGAGTTAGCGTAAGGCAGGGTAAGCCAGAGTGGGATAACACTAGAGGCAGAATTCGTTCCCTTTCCTGCCTGAATAGATGAATTTGATACACAAATACCCAGGCAAGTAAAATTGAATTCGGCCTTGAACTTCCCATGCGATTTAATTGTAAGGGTTTCCACTAGCAATAATAAGAATGACAACAACAGTAATGATGATGCGTATATGCATATTTTTCAATAATTTCTATTTAATTAGCTCCAGGCAGAGGAATTAAGAGAGCAGTGTTACAAAACTTATTGCAAAGAAAATCATTTGAGCATCGTTGCCTGGCAACACCTATACTCTCTGGGCAACACTATTGTTGTAGCTTCCATCACCTCTTGTTAGTGTAGTCTTACCACTACCCCATTAACTCCCTTTCATCTCTTCTGTTACCCTGCTCATAACAACCTTCTCATTCCTTAGTCTTACATTTTCATGTGCAACCTAAGGTTACGTACCCATTATCAGAATTATGTGAAAGTTTGTGCTGTTGTAGCACCTCCATTTTAGTTGAGTACTGAGTTTTTTTGTTTCATTTATGTATTATTTTGTTTTTATAGGTCTAAATGAGAAACAAGGTGGAGCGCCTGCTGAAAATAGAAATATTCAAAACCGCGGAAATTCTTTGCATGTATCATTTGTTAATGAGCCCTCTTTACCCAGAGGTAAATATTGGAAACTGTCATAAGGCATGTGCATGTGTTTTTGTTAATTTACTACTTTTATTAATTTAAAATTAAGATTTTTAAGTTCATTCAAAGTTTACCAATTGTTTGCCTCTCTAAGACAAAAGAGGAAATTTAATTATTAATAAACAAATAATTCCTTTTTAATTAAAGACATTCATTTTTATAAACAAATTATTTATTCGGCTTTAATTTTTCATTATAAATCGGCAGTCAGCAGGGTTAAAGGTACTTTTTTAGTCATCCTGTGTTAGAGTGCACTAAATTTAAAACTATAATAAAATATTTACAATAACTTGAATAGTGTGCACATATTCAAGCTGTTTCAAAACCATATCTATGTATTGTCGGACAATGTACTTAAACTGTCATCGAGATACTGTTTCAAGAAAGTTTCATTGATGGATCATCAGTTGTCCAATTCACAATAACTTAATTGTTTTTATGCACTTTCCAAATTGTGATTTTAGTGTTCATTAGTACGTGTGGTCATTGTTAAATAGTTGTAAAGTTGTATTGTTTGTGTACGTATACATTCGTTCGTGTGAGTATTAAATATTCTATTTATGTAATTGTATATTTTACTATCGTCGACATTGTTCAAGCTTTAATTTATTAAAATAAAAAGTCAAAATATTTGAAGTAGGTTATATTTTTTTAATGTATTAATAATTTTTTATATTGAAATGCTCTCCGATACTTTCGTTTTCAAATCAAACACTAATAAATGTGATTAACGTATTGTAAAACAGATATTCACTTTTTATTTGTAATATGTACAATATACAATAATATGATTGTTCTTCCTAAAAAGTTCTTTAGAATTACTATACCTAAATAAGGGAGTAGTGAAATTATCCTTCACCATGGGCAGCTGACACCCAAACTACTTCTCTGTGTTAGGGCTAATCATGGGATTTTCAAGGGTCTTATGAAATAGAATGCAAATGCCTTAATATTTTTATATGGTGCTGTAAACCATTATGAATATTGTTCATTGAGTTGATATTAGAAATATAATGTACTCTCGTCAGAAATTAGAGCAAATTAATCATGTTTTCTTTTTTTTTTTAAATAATATGTTATAGCTTTGAGAGAACCAACTTATTCAATTAAAAATACTTCATGAAAAAATAGTTTATTGCTATCATCAAACACGATATGATGGTGATAGGGGGTGGAAGGACGAACACAATACAACCATGCCCAAAGCAGGACTCGAACCCGCAATCCTTCGGTCCGAGATCGCTACGACACTACTGCCTTAGTGATCTCGGCCGTCCGGACCGGCAATATCACAAATTTGTGTTTGGCAAAACACTAAATTCGAGAATACATTGTAACAAAGCGAAATGTAAGAAATTATAATACTCGGTAATATGTATGTCAAAATTGTTTTCCTTTCATTTTTTAGTCATATTTCGACAACAAACATTTCCAATATAATGCAAAAGGCAATATTACTTGAAGTGTATGTGACAGTCCGTCATGTTCTCGTCGATTGCTCTTTCAATTTACTCGCTATTGTTCGAATTGCCCATTCTCGTTGGTTGCTCCCACTCCTAGAAAGAGTGGGAACCTCTCTCCCCATCCTTCATTGATTTTTGCATTTGCACCCGAGTTTCTCGCGCACAGTACCCGAGGTCAGTGAAAGTGCAAAATGACGGTCTGCCATAGACCTGTAAAAATGAACTTCACGTAAAACGAATTTAAACTAGTTCGTAGTGAAGGGGAATTGTTATTACAAAAAGATCAGTTAGATAGAATTGTTTTTTCCATAAGCGTCTCTTTTCATATTTCAAACAGTAACTGAAAAAATCGCACGTAGCGTCCTCTAAATATGTGTGAATTTTAATACCAATTGAATGATAATGATTTGTATGAAATGATGTACAGGGACGAAAAAAGGATAGTGTGCATCGAGGCAAGAATTCAGGGGGTGATAAATGTTTGATTTCGAAGATAAATAGATGAAATTGTTAATGAGATATATTTTATTAGCACTGTGTTTAAAGGTGGAAAAAGAAGGCATAAAATTGACTTACACATAACCATCTGTAGATACCCGTTTGTATTTGTACTGCGTAATTATTAGTTGCGCAATACCATATCGTAAATAAACATAAGACATTGCAATCATTTAAATTTTACTATAAGAATAAATGCGCTTAACTGAGACATGGCTAGTAGAGGTTAATGCGGTCCCAATTCCCGTGAAGAGTTACCTTGTAACTAAAGTTGGGAGACCACGGTTTCTTTTCCTGTTTACCAAAACTTCATTGAGGCAAAATGTTCGTCCCTATTCATCCTCCCCTTTATTCGCCTCAAATTCATGCTAACGCAACACTTCCCTCATTTTCCATTTAGCTATAATTTTTGAATTTTGTATCATACATAAAATAGTAAATAGTACTAGTCCAATCCCCCCATCTCCTCCGTTCGGCAACAGGAAACATACGCCCCTAGTGCTCCCTTTGCTCCCCCTACAGAACCGGCAGCGTGAAAGCGACTCGGACAGTTCGATGTGCAGTTGCCACACATTGCATATGCACATGGCATCATCAACATCACAGATTAGTTAAATCTCAAGACATTAACCCTTACTGACAGGCTATGACACGTCTTGTATCATCTTCAGAACATTTGCCAAAGCCGAACCTTATCGCCTCCGCGACATCGTGAGAGTCAGATGAGCGGCAATGCCGAACCCTGGCTGTGAGAAAGGAAACAAATCCTCGCGAGCTGATTGCTTCAGAACAGGCCACATGACGCACCACAGTACGTGGCGAGAAAACTGTCAGAGTTGCTTATATGCTGCCGGTACTGTAAAACTTCAATCGGTAAAGGGGCGCGAGCTCCGTGTATACCGGGAGAGATGGCTTTCTTTCCTCTTCCTCACCCCTTACACACAAGCACGTGTCGGGAGCTTAGAGCTTGTCCCGGCTGGGGCGGCGCCCTGTTGGAGTAACCTCGCTAGCCGGCGGTATGTCTATACAGGGGGAAGACCACTCCACCTCTCGACAAAAAACATGCAGTACACTTATGGGACCAATGAATTCGTTAGTTGGCTCGCCGAATCATTAACAATTCTTCGCATGTGCAGCTTTTGGGTTGTGGCGCAGGATCGGGAGCGGAGGGCCTGCCACCTCGTCGCGCCCCCCGCGCGCCCGCGCCCCCGCCCGCGGGGCCCCCGCCCCGCGCCCCGCGCGGCGCCCCGCCCGAGGTCGTCCGCGCGGGCCGCGGGCGGGCGGGCGCGAAGCGCCGGGCGGCGGCGGCAAGTCGTCGGGCGACGGGGACGACTCTTGGGAGGACGCCGACGACCACTCGGACGAGCCGGCGACAGAGCTCGCCCTCGCCCACGCCCACGCCCGCGCGCGCGCCCGCGGCAACAGCAACAGCGCCCTAGGAGGTATTGGCGACGCGCCGGCCGCCGCCTCTTCGGAAGGGACGAGCGCGTCACGTGACTCGCCGTCTTCAGCTGTTCACGTTGAACCCGGCAGTGAAGCAGATGGAAGGCCTGTTTCGCCTTCAGCTCTTCAGATTGAACCCGACAGCGCAGAAGGTGGAAACCCTTTGCCGTGTTCAGCTGTTCACGTCGGACCCGGCAGTGAAGCAGATGGAAGTCCTGTTTCGCCTTCAGCTCTTCAGATTGAACCCGACAGTGCAGCAGATGGAAGCCCTTTGTCCTGTTCAGCTGTTCATGTTGAGCCCGACAGTTCAGCAGATGGAAGGAGCCCTTTCGAAAATGTAAATGCAAGTCTCTTACCTGTTCCTGTTCCATCTTCTGCTGTTGAAAAGATTGAAGAGTCTGTTGTGTGTACAGATGTTGAAAGTAAATGTAGACTAGATACATTCACAAAAGAAGATTTAAAGGATTATGTTAAGGAAGAAGCCATTGCTTGCACAAATTTGACAGACGTTCTCACAAATGAGTCAGATACTGATTTCATTTGCATCAAAACATCAAATGAAGAAATGAATATTAATACTGAGAACACCAGCACTATAGGAGGTTCATCTACGTTATGTGACACAAAAACAGATTTTCCAGTCATAAAAAATGAAACTGAAAGTGGTAATATTCCATCAGCAAGTGGCATTCAAGATAGGGAAAGTGTCCACATTCTACAAAATACACAACTTGATTCTGTTAATGTCGAAAACACCAGCACTATTGCAGATTCATCTACATTGGGTGACACAAAAGCAGATATTTCAGTTATGAAATGTGAAACTGAAAATGTTAATATTTCATCTGCTACTAGCATTCAAGATAGGGAAAGTGTCCACATTCTACAAAATACACAAGTTGATTCTGTTAATGTCGAAAACACCAGTACTATTACAGGTTCATCTACATTGTGTGACACAAAAACACATATTTCAATTATGAACAATGAAACTGAAAATATTAATATTTCATCTGCTCGAGACATTCAAGATAAGGACTGTGTCAACATACTACAAAATCAACAAATTGATTCCAATAATACTGAGAATATCAGCACTGTTGGAGGTTCATCTACATTATGTGACACAAAAACTGATACACCAGTCGTGAAAAATGTAACTGGAAATGTTAATATTTCGTCTTCTAGTGGTCTTCAAGATGGGGAAATTGTCAACATTCTACAAAATCCACAAGTTGATTCAGTCGATACCGAGAACTTCAGCACAATTGGAGGTTCATCTACTTTATGTGACACGAAAACAGATATTGTAATCACGAAAAACGAAACTGAAAATGGTAAAATGTCATCTGCAAGTAGCATTCAAGTTAGGAAAGGGGAGAACTGTGTACAAAATCCGCAACTGAATTCTGAGGATAGTGCTGCAGTTCACCCTACTCTTGAAGACCATTAGATTAATAAATAAAAAGTTATACATATATATAATATATATATATATATATATATATATAAGCTTGATATTTATTAATCTAATAATAATTAATATATATATATATAATTAAAGTTATATATATTATATATATATATATATAATATATATATATATATTTATATATATATATATATATATATATATATCAGGATGAGTCATTTCATGCAAGGAAAAACACACCTGTATCTTCTCCTTTATTAGGTGAACAAGTGTTTGTCATTTTGCTGAGAAACGCTTTGTTACTGCACAGCAGTGTCTTGATAATTTCTTTTCTTCTATAATGTCTAGAAGATCGTGCGTAAGGGGAGTCAGAACACTGATGATACTTCTAAATATTGCTGAAAAAATTGTTTTTTGTGGATAAAATGGCAAAAATACAAAATTTGTGAAGTGACTATTCAGAGGCATATGATCACAGCCCTTACAGTCACACTTGACAATAGAAGCCTTAGCTCTCCAGGCGGTCATCAGAATTGTAGTGCATTCAGCGAGGACAAATGACATTAATCACCCGCAGAATCAACAACAGCGGTTTGAGTCGTGGAAATGCGCACTACAGTACCGGCAGTATATAAGCAAATCTGATAGTGAAATGCGCGATTGCAACACAGTACGACGCACATAACACCACCTACATGACAGGTAAATGAAATCTCAAATCATTAACACTTACTGACAGTCTACGACACGTCACATGATATGTTTTATAACTTTCGCCAATGCCGAACCTCTTCGCCTCCACGACGCCGATCAGATGAGCAGCAACGGTGAACCCTCTCAGTAAGAAAGTAAACAAATGCAGGTCACATGGCGTACCATAGCACGTGGCGAGAAAACTGTCACAGTAGCTTATACGCTGCCTATTATTCTGCAAATTCCAGTAGCATACAGACTGCCACGAAACGGGAAAATTACAGAAATAACTTTCTACGGGAATCTATGTTTGTGAATCCTTAATGGTGAAGGCATTATTAGTTTATATTAATATTGTAAAGAACACACTGGTGTGTTTTTACTGCGGAAAATAATTACCCCTGAATATTTAAAAAAAATTAGTAAATTAATATTACATAGTGATTTGGAAAATACAGTGAAAATATATACGTTTTCTTTTTATATTTTCACGTAAAAAGATATACGCTCTTTGATTCACAGTCAATTTGCATGTATGCTGTTACACTTTTCATTTTCCTCTTTCAAGATTTGTGTATCTTGAGACATAAATTGTGAGGGTCATGTAGAAGTGTATGATAACAAAATGTTCCTAATGCAACTAAAGAAGCCAACTAAAAATTGCCTTTGAGTTTTGTAAATGAATGAAAAATAACCTCCCATAGTTTTCATCCTTGTTAATATTTTTAAATTTTGAAATTTAAGAGTAAAGTAGAAATATTACTTATCTTTTCAAATAATTATGATCGTAATAGTTCTGTAAATTGTTACATTTTTACATGTAAAATTCTCTCAAAATCAAATCTCTTAGGTAATATTGTTAGGTCAAGTTTCCACTGACCCAATTAAATATTTAAATTACTTTGATAATTAGATTTTCAGAGATGTTTATTTGTTTTGTATATGAAATTGTAAAATTGAAGACATCTTTGTGAAGAAAACTTACAAAATTTATACTTCTTTCAAAATGGACTGACTGAATCCGTTGTTTTACTTATTTTGGTACCTTTTATTGTGGGTACACATATTCTTTTAAAATGTTTAATAGTTGTGTAAATGTTTTTGTTATCTTTGAATAAAGTTGTGTTAATGGAAGTTTAATTTTCTTCTTTTTTGGTGTTTGCCAACTTTGGACATGTATGCGATGAAAATGTTAGTAATTTAGGATTTCAAATTTTTACCTGTTTTGTTCCTCGCTTCCAAATTTAAAAAAAAAATGTGCATTTATCCTAATTATGATTGTGCAAGTCAGATATTTCATTTTTACTGTACACAAAATTACCTAAATGAGGCAAGAGTAACCAAACAACCCAAAGGACTTCTAGTGGTGCTACCATCCTACATGAAAATGTTCATTGAAAAATTTGGAGTCGCTTGTACGAAAATGGCGTTTAAACGTTACTGTAAATGAGAAATTTGAAGGTATTTTTCACAGACATTTTTTGTTTTCGAAATGCTCTATTGGAAGTCATTTAAAGTTCTTTCACTCAATAATGTATACGAATCGCTGGGTATGAGAATATTAAAAGCTTGAGAGATATTTCAAAAAATTACATTTGTGTATTTTTTGAAAAACAAATAATGCAGAAAAATTAGTTTTATATCATCTTAAACAGTGCAATTAACACTATCCGTACGAGAAGTTTGAAGGAAAGATTTGGAGCCGTTTATAAGAAAATGACTAGAGCGGTTTTGAAAACGCAGAATTTGGAGCTCATTTTCACAGAAAACCTTTCAGTTTTCGATAAGACCTATAATTCATTCAAAGCGTATTTACTTATAAATGCAATCACGTAAACAAATCGCCCCGAATGAAAATATTGACGATAAAAGAGACAAAAAAATTCATTTTTGTAATTTTTCAAAAAGCAAAAAAAGGTCAAAATGGCATATATATCATCTTATACTGCACATTTGGCACTATCCCTTCCAATCATTTTAATAAATGGAGCCGTTTTTGAGAAAATATGTTTTTGATATTTTTCTAACTGCAAATATTGCGCGAAAAGTACTAAAAGTTTCAAAAAAGTACATGACCTTATTGAAAGAACTAATTATGTAGAACAAATTTTCCTAAAAGGAAAAATCACTATCTTCAATTCTGTAGTTGTAGGAAGACGTCGAAAAAATCCAACTTTTGCAATTATGAAAAATTTAGAGTTAATAGTGAAAATCAGATCTACGCCATCTTTCCTCAATTCTGGAAATGCATTTAAGAAACATTTGGAGCCATTTTTGAGTAAATTTTGAAAATTTCTATGAGGCTTCATGTAAAGTACCCCCAAAAATTAATGAACGTTTTTTTATAAATCGCAGAGGGGCCAGTTCGTCATGGGTTTATTCACTCTCCAAGAAATCCTACGTACATTTGTGGGGCTAGGTTGGTTCTCACAAACCAGACATACGAACGGATATTTTCGGAAGAAAGAAAAACAACACTGGAATCAAGGACCCACAATTTGTGAAATCTGACTATGTGCGTTATAAGGGAGTAATTTACTACATTTTAGAACGGTATTTATTCACATTTACTATATCAAGGCTTCACAATACGAGTACGAGTTTTTTTGTACAATTTTTCTCCATACTTAATTATTTCATTAGTAATGCACATTTTTTGAAAAAGTTTAATAGTTTTCGGGCAATTGTATAATATTAAAAATAAATAACAAAAACAAGAGTATCTAAAAAAAGGCTCTATATTTTCTTTTAACTTTTTGTAGGGATAGCGCTAAATGTACTTACCAGATTGTATAAACGTCATTCTCTCTTTTGTTTAAAAAATTCAAAAATGTAATTTTTTTGGCTTGCTCACATTTTTGCATTTATGAGTACATGTATTTTAAATGAAGCCTAATAAAGTTTCTCGAAAACTCAAACATTTTCTCTGAAAATGAGCTAAAAATTCGGCATTTTCGGAAATGTTCAAATGCCATTTTCTCAAAAACGATTCCAATGTTTTTTCTTTTCAAACTTTTGATAGGGATGGCTAATTGCACTGTTTCAGCTGACTTAAAATGCATTTCCTGTATACATTATTTTTTTCAAAAATTACATTAAAAAAAAATATCACACTAGCTATTTGTATATATTATTGCATTTGTGAGTTGAAGTGCTTCAAATGACTTCCAATAATGTTTTCCGAAAACTCAAAAGATTTCTGTGAAAAAGAGCTTCAAATTTCGCATTTACAGAAACGCTTAAACGTCAACAGGCTCCAAAATTTTCAACGAAAATTTCCTTATAGGACTATGTGTTACGTTTCTATAACATTCCTGAAGTAATATTTCGTTTCACAATTAGAAAACCGAAAAACAGAAAAATTAAAAAAAAAAACTTTGAGCATCAATAGATGGGTGCCGACAAGATAGTGGCAAGTCCGAAAAGCTAGCCCAGAGCAAAATATTTAGAAAACTATCTAGTACGAGAAAGTCTGTGCCTTTCGTAGCTCCACTAGTTTCGAGAAGGTAATTCTGTCAATGATTGGTAATTGAATTAACATGTTATATCAGAAAAATCATCTGATATTCATATATTTCTTCTCTTTGGACTTTCATGTTTACAAAACGGATTACAACTCATCCTTCATTTATTTCACACCTCTGTTGAAAATTCAGCTCCAAATGTATTTCTACATCAAAAACCTCGTTAAACATTTATGCTTGTTTTCACAAGCACCATACCACGTTCGAGCCAGTAGCTAACACGTGTTTTGTACGCCGCCATTACTGACCAAATCTCTAAATAAGTCCAATTCACAAGTCTAGTGGAAAATAAAAACATGTGCCCGGGAAATACCTACCAATACCACCAAACCAACTATATATTAAAAAACCTGCTATAATACTAGTAGGTATTGGTCCGGCCAGTCTTTTTCGCTGGTCTCAGTCACGGCCACTGGCACAATAGAAGGAAGTCGAGAATTTGCTGCGTTTGGCTGGATTTTGAAGCATCGCATATTTTCGCTCCTTGTGGGAAGTTCCTGAGTGACGTCGATATCACATGACAAAAATTGGCGCTGGTGCAGCCATCTAGAGAACGCCTTGAAAACTACTTGGACCTCTCGCTAGCGCGACAAAACCTATTTATGACCATGACCGTCACGGACGCTCGTGCCTCGACCTTATAGTAACGTTATTGGCAATATGGCTGCTCGTCGCCACTCGGTTTCTCCAGAGGGCACTGGTTGAACCTGAGTTGAATTTGCACAGTGTGGCAAACTGTGAAAATACACATTCGTTTACTCTATGACAGACGTCACTATGCAAATACCGTGTTGAATCCCTCGGACATATCTGGAAAATATGAAAATTACCTGAAAAAAGCATGCATTCCAATCTAAATTCTCGTTGTAAAATCATGAACGGAAGCTAGACCCATAAATAATGGGGAAGAACAAAAATTCACCAAGATGACACCACGTATATTGGAAATGTTTTGACCTAAGTGGGCCGAGCAAGTTCGGCTTACAGACAATAATTATCAACGAGATCTTCACGATGGAGGTTATGATGAGAATAGTCAAATATGCATCGAGAATTAGCATTCTAAGCATTACCCATCGCGTTACCCATCACCAACCCAGAAGTTATACAAGGTAGGCGTGTGCTCGAGCGTCTATCACTTCCCTTCTTGAAATGAAATACGACGCAATAGTGACAGATCTTCCAGCAGTTACAGTACATTAAAATTATCTTCAAAAGCAATAGAAGTCATGATTTGTTTCAAATCTTTGATTTGGATGGCACTTTTTGCAGAAAGACATACATATTCAATGATCTTTCGATATTTAAGCTGACTAGAAATGACGATCTTTCCTCATTTTTTTCTCTTTTTACAGATTGGCCGAAGTCGGTCGACTAGAAACACCAAAACTACAAGGAAAGTACGACACAGGCCAACTATTTCTTCATAGAGTATTTGGTTATCGAGGAGTGATACTTTTTCCATGGTTAGCCCGTGTGTATGATAGAGATGTTCCAAACAAAAGGGAAAAGGCTGAGTAAGTGTGAACGTCAAGAATATAGTGCAAACGAATGTTTATTGAATGTGGACTTTTTAAACTTTTTTTGTGTGTGTATTTGTATTGTGCAGTACTCAAGATGAAAATTTCCAGCATGTAGGAAAAGAAGTGAAGGGTCGTACACACACATTTTACCAGGTTTTGATAGATTCTCGTGACTGTCCATACATAGTAAGTAAAATTTGTAATAATATTTAATTCATCAAGTTCTAGAAATTATTATCATTATTATTGTTGTTGCTACTACTACTACTACTATTATTATACCTGTATTCATTATAGCGAGCTCAAACTGAGGCAGTTACATTCTTAGGAAACCAAGAAAGCAGTAGGAGCTTGTATGCCATACCAGGACTAGATTATGTTGCTCATGAAGATATCTTGCCATACACAACTACTGAGAAACAACCTCTCCAGCATGAGCTATTTGACAAGTTTTTGATGTTTTACCCAGACAAAGGTAAATTTTACTCTGATTAATGATGATTTTATACAGGAATTTCAAAAACTCACCTTGCAACATGAAATAGCAATCTTTTCAAATTAAATATTTGAGGTTAGTACAATGGTATTTCTTTTTTAGATCCACCGTTTGGAGCTCAAGAAACCCTTAGAGCATGGCAAAAGAAAAATCATCCATGGTTAGAACTTTCAGATGTTCACAAAGAAACAACAGAAAGTGTTCGTGTTACAGTCATACCATTTTATATGGGCTGTCGTGAATCCCAGTCAACTTCAGTATTTTGGGTAACTTCCCTTGAACTTTTTATTATTTTTTATTTATTTTTTTCATTCTGCTGCTACTTTTTTTTTTTAACTTGTACAAACATAAAAATATTCTTTGTTGAATAAGTTCATTATTTTTTCAAATTCATGCTGTAGTATTGTAAAGAAATGTATTTGGAAATAATTGCGAAGAAACTTAAATGCACACCTTATGAGAGATATGTTTAAGTTTTAGTATAGTACTATTTTCTTTGAATAATTGGGAAAATTAATGAGTTTTAATGATTTTTTAAAGTTGGTCTTGTATTTTCTGTTTTTTGTGTTGAACTAGACTAAAGAACACTCATTTTAAGTGATAAAGATTTGATATTTTAAAAAAAGTTTGCCTGAAGTATAGAACACAGTTAAAGAAGTCTTTTAAACTGTCACTTCACTCTTTTCTGGTGAGGGGGAAATCCACAGTGGAGATGATTAAGGGGTTTATTGGGGGAATCTTTTGGTTGGGAGAGGTAGTGAGCATTGTACATAACTTTGTACAGTGGGACAACGATTATCTGAAATGTCAAATATCCAAACTCATTTGTGCTCTTAATAATTATTTTTTTAATTACGTTCTATGTACTGTACATATTCATTTTCTTTTGTAATACTGAATATTGAGATTGATCCCTGCTATGATTGACAGTGATAAAATATTAACGAGATATAGTACTTTAGTCAATCATCTGATTTCAGTGAACTGACAAATTCTACAATAAGTTCTAAGAACTCAGGCTGAAATGTAGTATACGGTACAGCCTAAGGGAGTCGTTTAAACCGGCACTTCGCGCCGTTCCGGTGTTAACTAGGCAGTTAGAATTCTGGTGGCTTTCTTGAAAAGTGATGTCTTATAAAAGTGAATTGGTAATTATGCGTTGGATAGACTCAAGGAATGCTTATGCGTATGAATGAATTATAGTGAATGCGAGGGCCAAAAGCCTGAGCCCCGCTATGACTTGGACCCAGGCGAGCGAAACAAGAAAACTTGTCTTTGAAAGTAAATTGGCGTTACAATGCGGTGGAGACAAAGCGTATGAAGCGACGAGCCATGAAAATTGCCCATCCATAAGTTTTATTCATTTCTATTAGAGCACGTACAGTAATTGGGCCTTAAGCCCCTCCACCATGCTTCTCCAAGGGTGTACCATATACTATACTTTAACCAGAACTCAAAATGTTCATTATTAGCAGAATTTATAATTGCTTTTCGCCACCTTTAAGTGGAAGAGAACTAACAGTATATTGTCAAACAACCGATTGTAAATACTTAACAGCTCATTCACTCAGAATGCTTATTGTTGGCATGAAACCCGTCACATTTTTTACGCATCGGTAGCATGCATAGACAAGCAGTGTGATCATTTTACTGAGTAACCATGAACTGTTTCATTTTCAGTTGAAAGAAATTTGTGGTTTCCTTTGTGATTGGATTATGTTTTGTGATCTTAGTGTACACATTATATTGATGGTATCTTCTAATACACTTGCATTCAGTATATTATGTAGACTGCCATTTTTATGTTTGGGTATCTGAATTATTGAATATCCGAACAATACCTGGTCCCCCTTAGTTTGGATAATCCCACTGTACGCATTTATAATAAGCAAAGCAAAGGCAAGGGCATTCTAAACAAATTGTAAAAATTACACTACTTAAATGATTTTAATGGGTCATAATTAGTCACAAATCTGATGTCAAAAGTCAGGGTAGGAACTTCACCCTAGAATCTTGTCGTAGCTCTTATCAACTAGTGCTATAATTTTGGTAGTGTGCCCTTGTGATTTTCTGGGTCAGGGTAGCTGTCGAAATGGTTAGCTGTGCTGCTGTAGTACAGTTACATTTCTTGTGCTCTTCTGATTGTTTTTGATTTGTGTTTTTGAGTGTTTGTGGTATGAAGGTGAGAATGTGATTTTGTTTATGTGGTGTGCCAAAAGGGGTATTTGGCAGTGATTGATTGTGCGCAACAATGTGGTTTTATTGCTTAGCGCTTAGCGTAATTAGAGGGAGGCCTTAAGGTGACTCCCCTCCACTTCCACCTCCCCCTCCTCCTGTGACAGCTCGCCTCTCTAAGGGCACACTATATTCTCTACTTAAACCAAAAACTTTGTTAATAGTGTTTGATAGCAAAATTCAGCACACATTTTTCATGTTGGCTAATTTTTACAGTGGCGATATTGCATCAGGCTGGAAAATTTAGGGGAACTGACTGTACAGTTACGAGAGCGACACTGGCGAATCTTCAGTTTGTCAGGCACATTGGAAACTGTGAGAGGTCGTGGTGTTGTTGGTCAAGAACCAGTGCTTTCTCAGAACCAGCCGGCCTTTCAGTATAGTAGCCATGTAAGTCTCCAAGCACCCAGTGGCCATATGTGGTAAGTTTCTAGTTGTTTCAGGTTTTTCATTAGTTATAAGGTGTATATTAGTTCCTGGAATTGTGGATTATACATGAATTATGTCCTATGTAGAGTTCATATCTGGCCACAATCAGGGGTGGACCAGAGACAAATTTTGGGAGGGGAAATTCAAAATGTTTTTATTGAATGTCATTTTACAGATTTTATAAAATGTTGCAGGCTCAGCTCATGCACTCAGCTCATGCTGCGATACAACTTTATTCATGTTAATGATCATCCAGAATTTTTTTTTCTTGAAAATCTCCTGACAAATTGAAATTAATACTTACTGAAAAATTTTACGGAGGAAAATTTCACTTCCCATGAATCTGCTCCTGCCATAATATATTTAAGTGACATTACGGCATCTGCATTTGAAATGTGGTTCCAAAAATATCATTAATCCATAATGTTTGTCACGGAATAGAACACTTGTAATTGTTGAATGTGGATTGATGTATTTACTTGAAAATAATTTGTTTGATATAAACAATATGAATAACATGAAAATTGTGAGTTATCTGTATTTTAATTTTATAATATTCATTGTTCAAAACAATGATTCACACAAATATGTGTAACCGAAAAAAGATTTTTTTTTTGTATGGTGCTCTTTTCAATAATGAAAATTTATTTTTTATGACAGTCAACAATATTCCAGAAGTTTTCATCTGGTCTATTGGATTGTAGAATAATGTTATTCTGAAGATCCAAAATTTCTTTCTCCAGTTCTTCTGCCTTTAGTTGAACAATCCAATGTGGGCATTTTTGTTACATTAACTTGACAAGTAAAAGGATTGTCAAAAAGGTGACCATTGGCTCAATGGTGGTAAACTGTTGAAATCGCTTATCAAACTGATTTTGAAGTGACTGAAAGGTTGACGAAAGAATTTTAGTTGACATATTTTTGTCCTCCTTAATTCAGATAAAAGTGGATAATTGGTATTAAAAGTGGCATGGTTTGTCTTGAAGTGTCGTTCCAATTTTTGCCACTACAACACTACAATTGCACAACAATCAAACTTATTTTCCCCTACCTTGATGAACCTTGATGAAACAATACGATTCCTCCCAATCAGTGTTAAAATAATAGGTTCGGTTTCTTTTACTAACCACTCATTTTGGGGTTAAAATAACAAAGAATTTAAAAATGAGTAGAAGGCACCAAATATGAGCACGTAAAGAGAAATAAATGATGAACTAAATACATTTAATGCACATGTAACTTGCACCACACAAACTGGCATCCACTATTCACACCACTACACCCACTACTCATGTCAAGATCGAAACATAAAAGCCATCCAATCACACAGTGCAGCAGCGGCTTTCATGAGCAGAGGGCACATCTAAAATGGTTTGCGGGCAGCATGGTGCCTGCAGGCATAGGGTTGGGAAACCCTGGCCTAGAGCATGTGTATATCACTTTCTTATATTATTTTCAGTGACAATGGAAGGTTTTGATAGTTTGTTTTCTGATTTCTACCAGGAACATAGCAGAGAACAACACTCTGCTTTAAACAAATTGTAAATAACATTCATAATACTTTTAAATGTTTACTACTGTTTGTTTGCTTCTCAGGGGAACCTTCCGAATGGAGAGAGAAGATGGGTACACCTTTGACTGTCGTATACCCCCATTCTCATTGGAAAGTAAAAGTGAGGACCCTGCAACACCTACAGGGAACAGCTGAAGAATAATTAACTATGTTTTATTCTGTAATTAAAATATGACTATTTATTATATTTGCATTTGTGGATAAATTCTTTTAAGAATTTCAAAAGTTAATAAATGCAAATTCTTTTATTTGGTTTTCTGTACCTACTTTAAAACAATAAAATTTCACATGAATTAGGAATATGTTTCAGTTGATTACCAAGAAAAATGTCGAAATCTAGATAGTAACTTACGCTTGATAAACATACTACAAAAAATGCATACCCATGTATTATTTGTGTAAAATTTTCGTCTGGAAATTAATTCTGAGGGAAAATCCCTTGTTAGTAGGCAAATTTGCTAATATTGTGAATTATTATGAAATGTAGTGACAGTGAACAAGATGATCAATAAAATGCTTAACAATTACTTGCTACATTTAAACAATATCTCTTAAACATCACATTCAAAAGATTCACTCTTCAGTATGTTGCGTGTTCAGAATTCTTTCAAATTCTGTCAGTTTTCATGCAGCTTGTTGCATGAGTTGTGCAAATGCACTTCAGAAATGGCATATTTTGGGGAAGCTCATCCTATAGTACCCAGACCTTTAGACTGCCGGGAAAAAAAATTATTTGAATAATAAAAATAAGCTATTTGCGTGATTCCTACAAGCCTCTCTTCATTGAGGTTGAAATCTTACTGTTGTCTTGCCTATTTATTTACGAATCTATAGTTTTTGTCAAAACTGTAATTAACTGTAAAATTACTTAACAGTGAGAACATAGTTTCATGCAGTATTGATATTTATAATTACAACACATTTAGAAATCACATTCATCAAGTGTCAGTACCAACAGCTTACTATGAGAAATGCACATACATTTATATTACTTTATTACACATTACCAGGTAAAATTAACAATAAATATCTGTACATAAATTGAAGTTTAAAGTAAATTATTTTGTGGAGCATAAGTGTTTCTAAACAATTAGGGACTACACTGATCATCAAAGAGAAAAAAAAAATATTTATAATCTTCTTTTTGCTGTTTCCTTAACTGCTACTTCAGTCTTCTGGCGCTTAATATTCTTCTCCAGTCTTCCCTGTTCTTCCAAAAATCAGGAGGCAATTTTGATTTCTCGATTATCTTTCTGATCTGGTTGTTCCATTCTGGTCTTGGTCTGCCTCGTTTTCTCCTTTCAGTTGGTTGCCATTCTAGGGATCTTCTGGGTAGTCTTCTCTCGTCCATTCACTGTACATGTCCAAGCAAAGTGAGTTGTTTCTTTTCAATTTCCTCTATAATATCTTGTTGCAGATTCATTATTTCCTTAATCTGTTCATTCCTAATTCTTTTCCTTCTAGATATGGCTGCAGCTCTTTTGAGGAAATCCATTTTCAAAGCTCTCAATTCTTTTCTGTTGTTCTGAGAGCTGCCATGTTTCTGCTCCATACAATGTAACACTTTTTCGTTTTTTGCTTATATTTGGATCCCAAATAACTGCATTCAGGGCTCCTAAAATTTTTCTTCCTTTAATGAGTCAGGATTCACATTCTTTTCCATAAAAACCCTATGTTTTCCTATTGTTGTTCCCAAGTATTTTATGTCCTATGTTGTTCGTATTATTTCTCTAGTTTCCATAGTCAATACGTCATGTGTACTACCTAGAGTCCAGTATACTGTTTTTTCTAGATTGAGGCTTTCTCAAAATCTTTTTTTTCCTAGTAATACATTCAATATTGTCTTGTTCTTGCGCCATCAGCAAACTGTAGGGTATAGTGTTGTATTATCATCAAGTGGTATTCCTATCCCTGCACATTTTCTTTTCCACACCTGTAACACCGCATTAACATATATTTTAAAGAGGGTAGGTGACAAACAGAATTCTTGCCGTAGTCCTTTTGATATAGGGAAATATTTGGGTCATCTGTTTTCCAACTTTCACTTTTCCCTTTAAATCTATATACAATTTTTTCACCACATTTATTAAGATTTTATTTACTTTACTTCTATTCATTTCTTCCAATAATTTATTACTGGCACACTATCATACACCTTTGCTATATCAAGGAAGACCATGTGAAGTTCTCTCCCCGTTTGCATCACCTGGGTCAGACAAAACAGGTTATCTAAGCAAGATCGACCCCCCCTAAAACCACTTTATTCTTCTTCTTCATACTCCTTGAATCCATTTTCTTTTAATTCTCTTAGGTCCTGTTTCACCAGTGCCTGATAAAGTGTCTGATAGTCTATCCAGAAGTTATCTTACTGATATGTTGAAAATTTGAGTTTTACGGGTGCCTGATAAATCTATCCAATGGTTAGTCTCCTGTAAATAATCTGGAGGTTCGAGAGGCTGTTACATGTTTATCTGGTAGATAACACCAAAATAACAGAATGTGTGTGTAAACTTGCTGTGATTTTCAAGGAATATATGTATTTTCTTGATGGACAACCTAATAGAGATGATAGACAACGAATTTTTGATGGTATAGAGCATCCACCCAGACATGTCAGCCAGAATATTTTGAGATCTTTAACGAACAAGATTGCAAATCCCGTTCGAGGTTAAGGAATCCTAAGGTTAGAAAAGCTATGTCATTAATAGAACAGAAAATAAATAATTTGTGAACACCAATTTATATTTATGTAATGTTCTGGTAAAGTAATGATCGCGTTAAGTTCATTTTATGTCAAAATAATAAAATGTATACTTTTTGTTTTGTTTGCAATTCTGAGGTAGGAACAGACTTCTCACGCTGTTATTTTGCAACGGGATCAATTTTTATCATAATTTGAGTTTTCGTTGAGGTGAGCAATCTACTGCTTCAAGTGGAGTGAGTTCGTGAAGCTTCCAAGAAATATAGAAATCACCCAAGAAGAATTTTATGAAATTGCTAGATTTTCTAGTTCTTGCAGCAATAGATTGCACATAAGTTCCCATACAATCACTAAATTTTATAATGTTCTACTCTACATAGTGACTCTCTTATGAACTATGTTTAAGAAATGTTTCTTAATAAATTAATTAATCACAAGTATCCTTTTCTTTTTTTACAATCAATGATTTTTTTTCTTCAAAATAAATCTTTATTGTCCAACACACCGATTCGATGTGTAAATTACACTTATAAACATGTTAGTTAGGCCTAATTGGCATGATCCATCTGAAAATAAAAAAAGTCAACAAATTATGAAGATAAGTGAAGTGAAAATAGTGAATAAAATAAAAGAATTCAAAATAAAAGTTACGTAGAAATAAGAAATGAAATTCATTAAAAAATCAAGTATAAGTGTCAAAATATGTAGGTATTAAGTAGAAACTATAAAAGAAGACGGGAGAAAACTTGCCAAAACATGTTAAATTAAGCAGATACTTTTTTCAAAAAAATAGAACTACATAAAACAAAATTTATCGAAAAGAAAAAATCTAATCACAAAAAAATTCCCATTGTGAGAACATACTTCCACATCCTCACTTTAAGGAGAATCTAGAGTATTTTCTGGGTCCATTATCCAAAAACTATTTTTATTTTAGCAAGAGCATTGTCATATATGTTTGGAAAAGATGTGATTCTAACGTGGTATTAATAGCATGTTAGAATGGATTAATACCATGTTAGAGTCTAATCTTTTCACAAAAATTTATGACAATATTCTTTCTAAAATAAAAATACCATAAAATATATTTTTTTGAAAAACATTTTCATGATTGTTAAAAAGGAAAAGAATACTGGAATAATTATTATTATTCAAGTAACAATCATATTTTTCTTACATTTTTATCTGTCTAAACATTCCTAAACTTTGGAGATTTTTGGTGTTGTTAGTATTTAAAATAATATTTTTTTGGTTGTTAGTATTTAAAATAGATCACTCTCGTTTCATGGGGCTTCTCACACTCGTCTTGGTAGAATTTTAATTGATGTGTTGAACTTTATTCTATTGAGATGTTTAAGTCAATTTATTCTGACTTTTATTTTCTTAATTTAATTGTAAATTAAACACTATAAAATTCTGTTCACGGAGTGAATAGTATTTAGAAATGTATTTTGATAATTTATAATAGGCTGGTCATTGGAGAAAAGTCTCAATATTGAGTAATTTATGAGAAATAGGCAATAGAAAATAAAGAATCAATTTTCAATACTATCATCTGTAATTATGCAAAAATTGTAATGGATTTTCTTGCCTAACTCCAGTTATGATTTCAGAATTGGTCATTTTTAGTAAGCATCATTTCTATCATAATTTTTTTTACAAAAACACAAAAAAATCATTGAACTTTCTATCTGTCATTGAATCATACTAAGACTTTCTTTCTCTCTCTTCCGAGCTTCATATTTTGATGAAAGATGTGTCCCTTCGCAAAAGGCATTCCCCACCAAGCTATTGTACACCTTTTCAAAAGCTACCCATGCCAATCCCTGTCCTACCACATGGTAGCACCATTTACTATATATTTAATAATATTTTTCCTCTCCGCTACGAGGGATACAAGTTTGTTTTCTCACGTGTAAAATTAACTCTTCTTTCTCGCTTGTTTCCTCTTTCCGTTTTGAAACTCCTACACACACAAAGTACGACGCAATAAAACAAACTTTTACACCGAACTCGCACGCAGCTCACGCGGAAGTAAACTGCAACACAAAATAACACGAATGAAGCGAAATACACCTCACACTTCCATTACAAAAACACATTCGAATTCACGCGAACAGAGCGCGTTTGACTCGAAAATGCAGCGTTGCCGCTGGTGAAGGAGCAACCAGCCATATTATTTATCAGAAAGATATTTTTTCAGATATTTTAACAAGAAAGACTTTGGTGAAACGCAAAATAAATATCAGGCACTTTTATCTGACGGATAAAATATCTGTCGGATTAGTATTTTTTTAGTAACTTTATCAGACACCGGTGAAACAGGCTCTTAATATTCTTCCATGTACCTCACTGAACGTGTTTGTCACTGCTATCCCTCTATAATTTTCACATATCTTTCCTTCCTTTCTTATACATTGGTGTTATATACGCCATTTTCCAGTCTTCTGGTATATCGCCTTTATTTATACACATACTCATTAGCTTCGTCATCATTCGCTGTAGCTTTGGTGTTCCATTCTTTATCAGTTCGCTTGGGATTTCTCCTGGTCCCGGAGCTTTACCGGCTTTCATTTCTTTGATATATCTCTTAACTCTCTCTTCTGTTACTGTAATTTCCGTTGCCGGAGATATCTTTTCCCTTTCTGTAGTTCCAAGAAAGCCAGATCTTCCTTTATTTAATAATTCCCTAAAGTACTCTTCCCTTTGGCTTCCATGTATACTTTGTATGCGAATTTTTTTCCATTTGGAGAGATTTTACATCTTTTATGAACTTTCAAATATCACTTGTTTTTGTTCCACCTATGCACATTTCTACTTCTTGACATTTACACTCCCATGATTGTTGTTTTTCTTTTCTTATGATGTTTCTAACTCTATTTCGTTGGATTTTATATTTCTCTGTTTTCTTCTTTCTTGCTACTCAACCATTTGTCATACAGTCTCTTCTT